CGGGAGGTGAGACACCCCCCCCCCTTGCCGTGGAGTGGCATTGTCCTTGGACATGGGGTTTGTCTTAAGGGAGGAGGGACACCCATTTCTTCATGTCGTGAGCACTTACAGAGTGACTTCTGTATACCCGACCCTGAGTGGGCGCTGGGGGTGCAGCGAAGGCCCCGTGCCCCACGGGTCCTAGAGTGTAGAGTGGGAGACGCCAGCGTGAAATGACACGATGCTGTGTTCAGGAGGAGAGGGGGGCAGGCGGAGGGAGCGACAGGTGCTGTGGGTCTGAGAGGAGCTGAGGACTGGGGCACTTCGCACTCTGGGTCTCGCTCAGGCCTCACTCTGAGAGAGGGCCCACGGGCAGGCCTTCCTGGGAGGGGGAAACAGGCCCCCACCCGTGGCAGTGGCCCCCAGGCAGCATAGGGTTAAATGCCAGTGGCGGGGGGGTGGGGGGCGGGGAAGGGGGCCTCCAGAGAGCAAGGGCCAGGCCTTGGAGGATGAGCAGGAAGCAGAGAGGAGGCGGGGCAAGAGAAAGGGGCGGGCAGTACAGGATAAGGGTTTGGACTCAGGACATGTGTTCAGATCCTTCGTCCATTTCTGGGGCTGAGATTTGGGGCAGGTTTCTTCCTGTCCTGAACCTTCCTCATTCTGTAAAGTGGACACCATGTTAGGACTCAGGAAAGGGGATGTAGAGTGAGTTAGTCTGGGGAACGTTGGAGACTACGTTAAGAGGTAACCCCAGGCCGAGTCATCAAGACTCTCAATAGCAGCTGAGTGTGGACAAGCAGGCCTGCCGTAGCCCCGCGTCCTGGGAGGGCAGGAGCTGGGTCCCCTAGTCTCCCATTGTACAGATGGGCAGACCGAGGCCCAGAGAGGAAGGGAAGAACCCAGACTTCTGGCTCCCAGTCCCAGGAGCACACCTCCCAGGGAGGCCGGGCTGGGGCTGGGTGGCTCTCTCTCTCTCTCTCTCTCTCTCTCTCTCTCGCTCTCGCTCTCGCTCTCGCTCTCGCTCTCGCTCTCGCTCTCTCTCTCCCGCCCTGACACCCCCTGCTTTTCTCCCCGCGGCAGTTCCTCCTGATTTTCCGCAAGGCGGCGGCTGGGGAGCTGCAGGAGGACAGCGGGCTGCACGTGCTGGCCCGCCTCTCCGAGATCGACGTCTCCACCGAGGGCGTCAAGGGGGCCAAGAGCTTCTTTGAGGCCAAGGTGAGGAATGGACGGAAGTACAGAGCCCAGGGTGCTTCCCTGACCCCGGCTCAGGGACGGGCGTGGCCGGGGTATGATAGGCCCTGGATTAGCTCGAGGGTCAGCAACCCTTCCTGCCCTGAGGGGCTGCAAACGGGAGAAGGGGAGCTGACGCCCAGGCTGTGATCCTTTCCCGCTGCCCCCGGGTGGATGCGGGGTGTGTATTCTTGAAGAGGGGATAGTGGCCCCTGGCCACTAACTCAGGACTGGGCCTTAAAGGGTAGGCCCAGAGACACACACTGGCTCCTGGGGCCTCTGGGAGACACTGGCCCCCGCCAGCCTCCGCCTGGAGGAAGTATGGCGCACCCCAGAGGCCACTTGCATGCACAGCACCCTTTCAGTGCACGCTCAGATGGAGGGGACAGTGGTTCCTGGATCCTGCCCTCCTTGAGCCAGAACACCCACCTTCCCTGGTTGCTCCCTCTTCCCATGTTAGCGAAGAACATTCCTTCAGAGGTCGCCTTCCGCCTCCTTCTGGGGTTGAGGGGGTGTTCAGGTCCATTGGGGGGACCCTGTGCAGCTGTCTCCCCGGGACAGGAAACAGGTTAACGATGCAGCATCAGAAGCTCCCCGTATAGCGCCGTGCTGTGCAGCAGCCGCTGAGCCTGTGTTATCTCTTTCAACGAATCCACGAGGTCAGAGTTATCGAGCATCAGGCTCTAACTGGAGAAACTGAGGCTCCAGAAGTGAATGTAGAGCCCCGCCCAGGGTTGGAGGCAGTGAGAGGGGGAGCTGTGTGGGCATTGCTGGGCGGACCCCCGAGAGAACCCACGTGGAGGCGCGGAGACCCCTCCAGCCCTGAGCCGCCTCCTCCTCCCGCCACCCAGGTCCAGGCCATCAACGTGTCCAGCCGCTTCGAGGAGGAGATCAAGGCGGAGCAGGAGGAGAGGAAGAAGCAGGCGGAGGAGATGAAGCAGCGGAAGGCGGCCTTCAAGGAGCTGCAGTCCACCTTCAAGTAGCCGGGGCTGGGCCCGACCGCCGGGCCCTGGCCCAGAGCCCAGTCTGGCTGGCGGCGGGGGGTCGAGGGGGGACAAAGTGGAGGTTGAGCTGGGATCCTCCCCGTGTCTGAAGGGACCATACTGAAACCTACAAACGTCTGTGAACACAGCCCGGTGAGGGTCTTGCAGGGGTGGCCCGGCCTCTCCCGCCCTCCGCCAGGTTCCTGAGGCCCAGCCCTCCCTGCGTCCTGCCCCTCTCGCACCCCTGGCTGTCCCCTGCCTGCTCCAGCGCTGCTCTCTGCCCGTGAGCCTGCCCGCCACACACGCCTCTCCCTGTCACCTCCTCTCCTGCCCAGAGGCCACCTGCCCTTCACCGGCAGGCTGCACCGCCCCCTCCTAGACTGGGGGAGCGACAGATGGCAAGAATTTCGGCTGGCTCGTAGAGGGGGACCTCAGCGTGCTCCACACCCTGCACCTGTTCCTCCAGCCCCGCCTCCTCCCTGCTGGCATAGACGGGGAGGACAGGGGAAAGGCTTCTATTTTTGTGAGGGGACCCAGGCCCTGGCACCCCACGCAACCCCAGTGCTCAGGCCCAGCCAGGAGGGTGAGGGGACAGCTGTGTCAATCTACCTCACTCTCGCAGCCATGGCAGGGAAGGCCCTGGGGGCAGAACACCACCCTAGTCCCCCAGGGACCACCTGAGGGTCCCAGGGGGCTCTGGAGAGAGCAGGGGGGCTCAGGGGGCCCCCTCATAGGAAGGAAAAACAGTGACGTCTCCACTCTCCAGGAGGCGCCCAAGAAGTGCTTTAAGAGGTTTGCCCGGACCAGGCAGTGGGGAGCAGGGGACCTCCCTGGGCCTTTCACACCCTCCTTCCCCAGAGTGACGTTCACCGCCTTGTCACCAGCGACGGGACTATCCTGTCACCCCCACCCCGAGGAAGCATGGGGACCCCAGCCTCCCTGTGCCGCCGGCCCGGTCCCACGCAGCCCCCATGTGCTTGCTCACGTGTGTGCGTGTCTGTGTGTGTCTCTTGCTGTGTCGTGAAGCTGTGCCCGTCACCCAGTCCCAACCAGTGAATGGCCACCGAGGCCACGGTTATGCAACTTTCGGTGTGTGTCCCTGCTGTTCGGGCTCGATAACTTTATTTTAGTAAAAATGCCCCCCAAGAGTCTAAGAAGCTCCTGTCGGACATGCAGAGGTTTTATTTTTTTGGCCTTAGAATCTACAGACACTAGGGGGCACTGGCCCCAGGGCAGCCCTGGCCCCGGATTGCGTTTGCCTTAGTGGATCTGTTTACACAGATGAATATAAGAAGTTCTTTTTCTTTGGCTTATTGCTTTTTTTTTTTCTCCCTTCTCACTCCTCCCCACCTCCCCCCCCCCCCCAAAGAGCTACTTCTTCATTCGGTGGTACAATTATTTTTTTTTAACTAAAATAAGATAAAAATTCTATATTCCTATGTGCGTGTGGTTCTTGTCGGTTGGTGGGGAGGGAGCGGGTGGGAAGGGGGAGCGGGCTGAGGTCACCTGGGTGCCAGGGATAAGGGGCCCTACCTAATGGGAGGGGTGGCATTTGATGGCCACCTGCTGTCACTTGATGTAGATTAACTCATGTAACCCTCACAGCCAGCCCATGGCAGGATGCTATTTCTTTCCCAGACAAGAACAGGGAGACCCAGAAGGTGTCCCAGAGGCACACAGGCAAGAAGGGTGCAGGCCAGGGCAACTGAGCCCCCAGCCCGTGCCCCCAGCCAGTTCGGGGGGGCATACCTGTCCATGGGGCCGTGGTGCACATCACTGTGGCTGGAAGTAGCATCAAAGCCATCAAGATTATAAGTTGATGTACTCTCGAGTCCCCTCCCCCTCCCCGCCTCCACACACAGATACCCCAAACCTCCCCAACCTCGCACACAGGCGGGGGTAGTGGGGTGATGAGGACAGAGCCAGGGTACTCCCTGTATGACTTTGGACAGATCACCAACACATTGGGTCTCAGCCTCCTCATCTGTGCGATGCAAGGATGGGCTAGGGTCCCAAGGCCTTCCCAGCCCTGTGGTTTCCAGGTAGAGCACCCCCTCTCCCAGGCCCAACCTAGGGTCCCTGCACTTTGGGTTTAGGCTGGGTATTACTGCCCCTGGGTGGACATGGGTGGTACTACAAAAGCCAGGATGCCCTGAGCCTGGGCTGTCCCATGCCAGGGCCCTCCCCCAATGGGTCTCAGTTGGGAGAGGCCTCTGCACAGGACCCCCCTGACTCCCAGCCTGGGCAGAGGGCACAGGCTGAGGAGTGAAGAGTTCCGAAGTGATTTGGGGATCAAGGGTGAGAAGGGAGCCCTAGCTGGTTGTGCTCAATGGATAGAGCATCAGCCTGGGGACTGAAGGTTCCCAGGTTCGATTCCGATCAAGGGCACATGCCTGGGTTCCCAGCTCGATCCCTAGTAGGAAGTAGCCAATCGATGATTCTCTCTCATCATTGATGTTTCTATCTCTCCTCCCTCTCTGAAATCAAAATATATATATTTTTTTAAAGAGTGAGAAAGCAGACAGCTCCTTAAAACCCCCGGTTCCATTTCTCAGTAAGCCTTCTCCCCCTCCCCCACCCCCTGAGTCCTGGCCACAAACCCCTCAGCCACCAAACCGTCTCAGAACTCCCAGTATTCCATCCTGATTTTGGCAGGAGGGGGAGTTGTTGGTTTTTTTAAATCCTTACCCGAGGATACTTTTCCATTGATTCTTAGGGAGAGTGGAAGAGAGAGGGAAAGACAGAGAGAAATATCGATGTGAGAGAAACACATCGATTGGTTGCCTCCTGCATGAGCCCTGACCAGGACCCAGGCCGGGGAGGACCCTGAAACCAAGGTACATGCCCTTGACTGGAATCGAACCCAGGACCCTTCAGTCCACAGACCGACACTCTATCCACTGAGCCCAACCGGCTAGGGCCATCCTGTTTTAAGGAGAAACCCTGCCAGCCCCAAGGCCCGCCCCTTAGGGACCTCAGCTGGGATGTAACAGCTGCCACCGGCATGCCCTGTCCCAGCAGCGAGGAGATAAGGGCCCCAACCCATGGCACCTGCTGTTTTTCAGACTCCCCGCTGCCTCCCTGACCTTGGCCTGCTTCTCCTCAGGTCCCCACTCCGGAGCCCAGCCTCCACCGAGTCATGCTGGGTACTTTTCCATTGTGGACTGACCCTGCGTGGCTGCGGGTCATTGAGGTCCCACATCCTCCGAGGCCCCGCTCCATCCTGGCAAACAAGGCTCAGCGGATGGGGCCTGGCATGGGGCAGCAGCCTCCCACTCTCAAGTCCTCAAGTGCATTTTGGAATCTGTAGAGAAGGAGTCCTTTCCAACCCGCACCCCATCAAGCTCCCACCCAGAACTAACTTCTGGTTCAGGGACACCCCAAGGAACACTTACCACCCTGCCCAGCAGGGGGCTCCAGCGATGCTGAACTGGATCTTAGCATCCCTGAGGTCCCAGCCCTAGCACAGGGCCTCCACACAGGAGGTGCTCTGCGAATGGGGGATGAATGAATGAATGAGTCAGTGGCCGCTATGTGCATGGTATATCAGTGCCTCACCGTCTGGGCATACAAGAGCAGAAGTCCAGGCTGAGGTCATGCCTTGGGAAAAATGGATTAAACCAGATGCTCTAAGGGACAGACTAACCCCAAACTGCTGGGGCTCCGGATGGAACCGCTGGACACACCATAATGAGACCCACACCAAGGGCCGTAGACTCAGATCTGCCACTCAATCTTGACCTTCCAGTCATGGACGCTTAGGACTGATAGGAACCTAAGAGTGTGTCTGGTTCTAATTGCCCATTTTAGAGATGGGGAGGCTGAGGGCCTTGCAGGGAGACAACCGAGCTGGCTCCAGGTCGGAATTTGGCCAGGGGATGCCCACACCTCAGCCTCTGTTCGCCGCCCGGGAGGAGGTGCTGGGGAGCAGGGATGCCCCAAGCCCAGACAATACTAATTGAATGAGTGGGGGAAGAAAAAGAGAAAACAACAGGAAGAGAAGAAAGAAACGAGAGAAGCTATGAAGACAGAGGGATGGGGTATCAGCAGTGCGAAGCCCGGACCGGCTCTGTTGTTGCCCAGCTGTGTGGCCATGGAGGGCCCCAGGCCCTCAAGTCTCAGCTGCCTCATCTTTACTGAGCGGGTACGAGTGTCTCTGTGGTGCTGTCGGGAGGATTCAGTGCGTGCGAAAAGCACTGAGCACGATGCCTGGCATCTAGTAGGTGCTCAGTAAATAACAGCTACAAGAATGAGTTAGGGAGAGAGAACACACTCCCAGCAGAGTGGTGGGGGCCTCCCAAACCTGCACACCTCAGGATTTGCTCTCTCCGGTTACTTGGGGAAATCATGCCTCGAGCCAGCCCTATCTGCTGCCCAAATTAAACAGTAACCAGCCAAGGTCAGGGAAAGGGCCTTGTAGGAGCAGGTTTCCTTCCAAGAGGTGGCTCAGCCTGGACGGGTGGGCTCACTCGCTGCTGCCTATAAATGTGCCCTTCCCGCCTGGACCGGCCACTCGCTCCTGAGCACGCAAACATGCTGGGCTTCACCGTCCTCGCCGCGCTCCTAGCCTACGGTAAGCTGTGGGTCGGGACCAGCTGCAGCTCACGGGCTGTGAGCTCGGGCCGGCCTCCCAGGAACAAGGACTGGAGCAGGGGGCCCTCTGCTCTCAGGTGGGGGGTGGGGGTCCAGGAAAGGAGCTTTGGGGTCCTATGAGAGTTCAGGTACTGCTGGCTGCTGTGTGTCAGATGAGCCACTGCCCGCTTGGCAACTTGGCTTCCATATCTGCACAATAGAGCTGATGGTCTGACCTCCCAGGGCGAGGATAGAGCTGAGATGCGGAGAGCCCCAGGCCCGCGCTCACCCTGGTCTCTCCAGCGAACACCGGGGCTTGCCTTTGCCAGCGGGGCCATCTCTCCCTTGGGGATTCTTTCCTTCCCCGTGTTGGTGGCCTTCTGCCCAATTAGGAATCCACAAACGTGGCTTGTATGTCCCTCACTCTCGGCAGGACCTAGACAAGCCACTCACCTCTTTAAATCTCACTGGCTCTTTTGGCAAATGGCAGCACTTGGTGAAGAGTCCTGCCCTGGCTGGTGTGGCTCCCCTGCACCTAAAAGCTGCTGGTTCTATTCCCGGTCAGAGCACATGCCAGGGTTGCAGGTTCAATCCCTGGTGAGGGTCATGCAGGACAAAGCTGATCAATGTTTTGCTCTCTGCTCTCACATCAATGTTTCTCTCTCTCTCAAAATCAATTTTTTAAAAATCCTTAAAAAAATATTTGTAAAAGAGTCCTTCCAGCTAACAACCACGGCAGTAATAATAACAGCAGCTCCCCATTACTGTGTGTTTACCGTGTGCCAGGCCGACGCTAAGCCCTTCACGTGCAGGAAGGAGCTGACTTGACCCTGGGAGGCAGGGTCCATTAGTACATCCACTTTACAGATGAGACTGAGGCTCAGTGAGGCTCCATATCTCGCCCAAGATCACGTGGCTGCTCAGTGACAGAGCAGAATTTGAGTCTGGGTCTGTCTCCCTGTGGAGCACATGCTCTTGACCACTCCACACAGCTCCCAGCTATGACAGTCTGGGCCTGTATGGACTCAATGCTCACACACACACACACACACACACACACACACACACACACCCTTTACCCTGTGGCCTAAAAACCAACAGCAGGGTAAGGATGAAGGACCCTGGTGGTCCCGGGCACTTGCACGCATGCCAGCCACCTTTTAGTCCCTCTGTACGGGCCTTTCACTGAACCCTTTGCAGGCATTGTCTAATTTGTTCCCAGGACAAGCACACCAGGTGGTGCTATTCTTCCCATTTCACAGAAAGGGAAGCTGAGGCCCCGAGAACTAGATGGCTCCTCCAGAGTCATCCAGTAAAATCTGAATCTGTGTCTGCCCAGCCCCAGAGTTCCACCTGCCCCTTCCCCAGCGGGGATGCCAGCCCCCTCACCTGTGTCCTTCCTCTCCTGTCTCCCCCAGCCTCCAGCTGCGGGGTCCCCACCTTCCAGCCCAACCTAGCAACCCGGGTGGTGGGAGGAGAGAATGCCGTGCCCCACAGCTGGCCCTGGCAGGTAAGCACTGTTGCAGGGGTGGGAGGTGAGAGGTGGGAGGTGGGAGGAGAGGGGCATGGGATGGGGGTCCCTGTGAACTGACACGTGGCCCCTCCTCCAGATCTCCCTCCAGTACCTGAAGGACAACACATGGAGGCACACGTGCGGTGGCACCTTGATTGCCAGCAACTTCGTCCTCACGGCTGCCCACTGCATCAGGTGGGCAGGGATGACGCCCAGAGCGGGGGTGGGGCCTGAGGAGCTGCTTTTATTGAGCACCTATTACTCACTCAGGCACTGCGCTAAATAAGCTGCTTGTCTCCAGTAACCGCCTTTTCATCTCTCCATCCAGCAGTGTTTATTGCGCACCTACTATGTGCCAGGGCACACAGCAGTCAGGACGAAGTCTGTGCTCCCAACGAGCTTATAGTCTAGCAGAAGACAGAGCAACAGACCATTAAACAATCAAATATGTAATATATCAAATGTCAGTGAAGAGAAAAGGCTGGAAGAGAATAAAAGTATAAGGGGTTCTATTTTAAAGGAGGCGGCCAGGAAGCTCTTTCTGCAAAGGGGACATGCAGGCAAAGACCTGAAGGAAGTGAGGCGAGGACTCATGGTCTGGGAGGAGGAGGAGTAGGAAAAGGAGGAGGCAGGGGAGGCAAGGGTGCTGCAGGTGGAGGGAACAGCCAGTGCAAACTTAGTATGTTTGAGGAATGATGAGGAAGCTGGGGTTGCAGAAGCAGTAGCGGGGGGTGGGGAGGGAGGGTTGGGAAGGAGGAGAGTTAGAGAGAAACGCAGGTGAGATGATGCAGACATGAAGTAGCGGGGAGTAGCGGGGGGGAGGGAGGGTTGGGAAGGAGGAGAGTTAGAGAGAAATGCAGGTGAGATGATGCAGACATGAAGCAACCGATTCTCACAGCAGTCCTGCAAGGGAGTTCCACTGTTATCTCCACTTTACAGATGAGAAAACTGAGGCCCAGGGCTACGCACCTAGGAGCCAGAGTGGACTTGGCCAGGGCCCTTCTCTGCCCCCTGGGAAGGGTCAACGGGGATGGACACTCCCTTCCCCCAAATGATTGCCATGTGGCCACAGAGCCGAGTCAACGAAGCTCCGAGGTCCCTCTCCTTTTTTGTATTTGTTTTAGTTTTATTTTATTTTTATTTATATTTTTTTGTTACTCCCCACCTGAGTATATTTTCCCACTGATTTTAGAGAGTGTAAGGGAGGGGAGAGACAGAGAGAAACGTCGATGTGAGAGAGACACCTTTATTGGTTGCCTCCCACACAAGCCCGACCAGGGCTGGGGGTCAAGCCTGCAACCGAGGCGCGTGCCCTTTTGATCAAACCCAGCACCCTTCAGTTCGAAGGCCGGCGCTCTATCCACTGAGCCAAACTGGCTGGAGGGAGTTCCCTCTCTACCCCACCAGCCAGCGGGGACGGGAGGCCACCCTGACCAGCCCCCTTCCTCTGTTTAGCAAATCCAAGACCTACCGTGTGGGCCTGGGGAAGAACAACCTGGCGGTGGACGACGAGCCCGGCTCCCTGTTCGTGGATGTGGACACCATCTTTGTCCACGAGAAGTGGAACTCCTTCCTGGTGCGGTGAGTGCCCCCCTGACTTCTCACGCCCCCGGGGGGCAGCGCAGAGGAGGAGGGGATCCCAAGACGGAGCCGCAGAGCCTGCCCCCACCCTGTCCCTGGGCCCCACCCTTACCCTGCGCGGCCAGCAGATGACTCCTTTACGCAAAATGGCAAAACACTAAGTGGAGACAGACACCCTTCCCATCTCCGTCACGGGCCAGGGTGCCCCAGAAGTACGCAGGGAATCACCCCACGCCCCCCCATAGGTCTTGCCTGAAGCCCCTCGGCCAGGGCTGAGCTAGCACTCGCCTTAACTGAGTGCCTACGCCTTGCCATAAGCACCTATGTGCCATCTCTTATTTAATCCTCACAACAGCCCTGCACAAGGAGCTCAGAGAGGTTAAGAAATAAGTCCCAGGTCACACAGCCCGTACCTGTCAGAACTAGGCATCAAACCAGGTCTGCTAAGGTTGCCACCTCTCATCCCGGTGACATGAACACATTTAAAAAATTGCATCCACAAGGGTCCCTCTTCTATCATTGTAATTCCCTACTTCCCTTTGCTTAATTGCTGGTGGGTACTTAACCTGCTGGTCCCAAAGGCGTCATCTACATCTAAAGGGGCGGGCGATGGCGATGTTAGAAGGCAGATCATCTGTCCTCCAACATCTCTGTCAGCCCATTAGAAGCTGACAGTCAGGATGTTCCGGGAGGACCCCAGGCACCCTGGGCCTGACTCTCAGCTCACAGCTGGGCCTCTTAGCCTGGGCGGGGGAGCCAAGACCTCCTGCTCAGTCAGTCCTCCACTCTGAATTCCAGCAATGACATCGCCCTCATCAAGCTGGCGGAACCCGTGGAGCTGAGTGACACCATCCAGGTTGCGTGCCTGCCAGCGGAGGGTGCCATGCTGTCTCGGGACTATCCCTGCTACGTCACCGGCTGGGGCCGCCTCTGGAGTGAGTACCGCCCCTGGCAAATCACAGGAGCCTTCCTGGAGGAAGTGGCTCTCCCAACAAGCACATCACCCACTTGGCCCATCACTTCTCCTCTTAACATTGTAATCACAACAGCTACTATTCATTAAGCACCTACCATGTAGCAGACACTCTAACTATCATGTAAGAAGGGGCCCCACAAGGATTGAATGGATTAGAATTGGTCAAGTGCTTGTACAAGGCTTGGCACGTACTAAGTGCCATATAAGTGACTGACTATTCAATGAGCTCAACAACCTTTTGGGGGGTGGGAGGGTTAGATCTTATGGTACCATATGCCCTATAAGTTCCAGCCAAATTAAAAGGATACATGCAAAGAGATGAAACTATGGCCGAAACCGGTTTGGCTCAGTGGATAGAGCGCCGGCCTGCGGACTGAAGGGTCCCAGGTTCGATTCCGGTCAAGGGCGTATACCTGGGTTGCGAGCATATCCCCAGTGGGAGATGTGCAGGAGGCAGCTGATCGATGTTTCTCTCTCATCGATGTTTCTAACTCTCTATCTCTCTCCCTTCCTCTCTGTAAAAAATCAATAAAATATATTAAAAAAAAAAAAAAAAAAGAGATGAAACTATGGAAGACTTAGAGAAAAATGCAGATTAATACTTGGAAAATCTTGGGGTGAGAAAGACCGTTTATTGTGCGACGTTACGGCAGAATCTTACAAGGAAACAAGGGACAGTGAACCCCCAGAATCACCTCCAAGGACTTTCTGTGATTGGTCCTGCCTCCAGCCGCTCTCCCTTCCCCCTCCTCAGAGGGGCCTCCAACCACACAGTCCGAGACCATTGGCTCAGAGCCTCTCCTCTCCACTGAGGGCCTATGTGTGGTTCCCACACACTCCCTGGGGACCTGTCCCAGCCGCACTCACCCTGAAGGCCTGGGCTGCCTGGACGGGTGCCCGCTCACCGCTGTTCTCTCTGCAGCCAATGGCCCCATCGCCGAGGAGCTGCAGCAGGGTCTGCAGCCCGTGGTGGATCACGCCACCTGCACCCAGAGCGACTGGTGGGGCGCCATGGTGAAGGACACGATGGTGTGCGCCGGCGGTGACGGCGTCACCTCAGCCTGCAACGTGAGTGTCCGGGCCCCGCACCCTGTCCCTAGCCAGGTGGCCAAGTGAGAATATGGACATAGAGTAAGCGCTTCACGGGGTTGCCGTGACAACCAACTGAGTCTAACAAGTGGAGAGGGAACTTCATGGAAGTCTCTATACATGTTCTGTCATGCCATCAGCTCCATCGTCCAGGGAGACAGGGGGGTCCTGACACAGACCCAGGCAGCACCTAGGACAATCAGGGACTGTCCTGTTTTCAAACACACGACCCCTCTCCCCACTCCCACCTGCCTCATGTTCCCAGCTCTCCAACATAGCTCCCAGCATCCTCATCCCTCTGGGCATCTCTCTGGACATGGTGACCTGAACAGCGAGGGAAACTGAGGCACAGAGAGGGTTACCATCATCCCAAGATCACACAGCACATCAAGAGTTCATTTGACACCCCAGGGCCTCCTAGAATGAGGCCAAGATAGCCCCAAGCCACCTCTTCTCTGCCCCCTCACCATGGACATGCTGAGGCCAAAAGAGGGGGTACCAAGGCTGTGAGGAGCCCACACCCCCCACCCCGTCTCGCCCTGGCTTCCCAAGCCTGCCTGGGGGAGGCCTGAGGCTGATGCCGCCTGTCTGGTGCAGGGCGACTCCGGCGGCCCACTGAACTGCCAGGCTGAGAGCGGCGCCTGGGAGGTGCGGGGCATCGTGAGCTTCGGCTCCGGCCTGGGCTGCAACACCCACAAGAAGCCCGCCGTCTACACCCGCGTGTCCGCCTACATCGACTGGATCAACCAGGTGCGTGCCTGCCTCCCAGCCTCCTTCCTGCAGGCGCCAGCCCCTCGCCCGCACTCGCCCTCACGCCCCCATTCCTTACCAACTCAGTCATTCATTCACTCATTCCTTGGCTGATTCCATCATTCATTCATTCGCGTGCTTGTTCCCATATGCACCCACTCATGCACTCACTCAGTCAGTCAAGAGGTACTGAGTGCGTGCTGTGCACAGCCTCGAGTCAGGTGCGGTGAAGGACACGGTCATTGCCATTCGTCCTTGCTTCAGCAAATACTCAGGTCCTGATCCCAGGCACCACCCCAGCCCCGCAAGAGAAACGTGGCCCCAGGAGAGTGGGGCTCAGCAGAGGAGAGGGGCAGCATGGCTGGCCATATAGACCTTGAGGACAGGGGAGCAGAGGGTCCCTCAGCCTGCAGCTTTCACGTGGCGGGTGGGGGGCAGATGTGTTCTGAGGCCCATTTGCACTGCAGCCTGAAGTCCTGGGGGGAGGGGTACAGAGCCCTTGGGCAGAGGCGAGGCTGGCTTGTGAAGTCTTGGGGCTCCTTACTCCCCCGCAGCAGGGGACACGGATGTGGGCGCAGGCGCACACACACTCACCCTGTTCTCTGCTCTGCAGAAAATGCAGCAGTGAGTCATCCTCCAGAGCCACAGCCGCAAATCCTCACAAATCCCCGCAACCACAATAAACCTCGTTTGCCCTTGAGCCAGCGCCTGCACTCTTGATTTGCGTCTCCGCCTCGCAGCAGTTCCCGGGCCCTGTAGGGGTGGCCCCTTTCCGCACTGGGAATGCAAAGAGAGCCCCCCTGCCCCCCCCCAGCCAGGCTGGTCAGGCCTTGGAGTTTGGTCCTGGTCCTGGAGGTGCTAGTGGAGGGGACCCCAGGAAGCCACCTGGTGCCTGAGGGGATATGAGTTAGGGACACACCAGACACTTGCCCCCAACTTCTCACAGCTGTGGCCCTGATCAAATCGCCATCTTCCTGATCCTGTCCCCCACCCTCCAGAGGAGCCTGGTGGGTCAGCTGTAGGTGGAGGATGGGGTCTCAGCGGCTGGCATGGGGAGGGTGCAGACAGAGGAGGAGGGCACAGCCCAGCCCTCAGGGGTACAGGTTTGAAGAAAGCAATGGTTGCCACACATGGTCACAGCAGTCAGCGCTGGAAAACTTGCACTGTATTAGACAGGCCGGGAAACTGAGGCCCGAGAGAAGAAGGAGCTGGGCCAGGTCACAGGAACAGAGAGCCAGTAATGCACCTGCCACAGGGGCCCCGGGAAGGGAGGGCCCTCTTGAGGCCCATTGGGGGGCAAGTGTGGCCAAGAAAGAGAGGGACCCAGTGTCCAGTGAGGGAAAGACCAAGTGGGGACCCTGACCCCTGACCACAGCACTTCTGAGAATGTGCTGATCCAGAAAGGGAGGTGCCCGCCCCCCACCTCTGAACTCCCAGCTCCTACTGGGCGAGCCCTCGCTGTACCGCCTGTGGCTGGTCCGTGAGATGTCCCGCTTTCCCACGGATTTTGGCGCCAGGAGGTGGGACGTGGCGGACCTCTCCTGCCTCACTATGCCAGGCCATTCTCAGGAAAGACGGCTCACTCAACAAGAAAGACATCACCAAGCAGCTGGTGCTGCCAGAGCCCGAGGCACAGGGCAGGAGGGGTGACCGACAGTCCCGGTGCAGGGTCCTTTCCTAGGACGTGAGGCTTTCCGCGCTAAAACCAGGGCCGTCCCAGGCACACTGGGGTGGTTGGTCGCCCTAGCAGGGGCAGGGGATGTGACGGGAGCATGAGCAAAGAGAGAGCCATGGAGGGGGTGTTGGGACTGTATTTGCAGAGTAATAGGGAGCCATAGAGAGTTTTAGATAGAGAGATGACCGCTGTGGTCCAATGCACACACTGGAGTCTTCATCTGACAGCTGGATGGAGAGTGACTTGGAGACAGGAAGGCCAGCTGCAATTAGGCTAACATCACTGTGGCCCTGACCAAGGTGATGATAGAAAGGAGAGAGGGGGCTCAGGAATTCAGCAATAACTCCTGACTTATTTAAGAGGCACCTGTGCAGTGTTAAACAACAGCCCCCAGTCCCAAATCTATATAACTTTTGGGAATGGTTGGATTAGGGCACCTACTCGTATTAGCTAATAACTGTTGAAACATAAGCCACGGTTCTGTTTGCTCAATGAGAACACAAATCTGAGATTCAGGGACAGAACCCACTGTTGTGGCCAAGAGTCAGCGTCTATGTGAGTGGACAGACCAACAGCCTCCAGAGATGTCCACATCCCAGTCCCAGAACCAGTGAGGGTTACCTGAGATGGCGAAAGGGATTCGCAGGTGTGACTGATTTAAGGATCATGGGACGGGGAGTGGCCTCAACTACCCAGGTGGGCCCGATGCAATCACAAGGGCCCTTATAAGAGGGAGGCAGGCGGGTTAGAGTCAGGAGAGCTAAGAACGGAAGCAGGGGTTCAGGTCCGGGTCCGGGAGATGCGAAGATGTTTCCCTAATGGCTTCGTGGACGTGGGAGGGGTCACAAGCCGAGCAAGGCAGGCGGCCTGTAGCTAGAAGCTGGGAAAGGCAGGGACAGGGGTTCCCCGCTAGGCCTCCGGAAGGACCCAGCCTGGTGTCGCCCAGTGACACTGGTTGTGGCCCTCTGGCCTCCAGAACTGTGAGAGGACACAGGTCTGCGTTTTGAGCCACTGCAGTCACGGTAAGTTGTTGAAGCAGCAACGGGAAATAAATACACCGTCTCTCCTGTCTTCTGACGAAATCTAGAGTCCGCGGTGGGGGTCAGGCGGGGAGGAAGGGCAGGTCAGGAAGGACTCCCTGGGATCTGGCTGCGGTGACGGCAAGGATTTGTGCACTTTGCCCAAGAAGTCACAAACCGGTGGTTGGAAAGGCGGGGAAGGGGCACTGAGGCACTGACCCTGCCAGCAGCCCCCTAGAATGCCATCGTGTGTATGGCTGATGCAGTCGCCGTGGCTGGCGCGTAGTCAGCCCCAGGGAATCTGTGTGCCAGGCACCATCCCATACACTGTCTCATCTAATAATCATGGCAGCCCTGATTATTATCCCCTTTACAGAGGAGGAAACTGAGGCTCAGAGAGGTTTAGAAACTTGCCCAAGATCACACCGCTAGTGATGGGCGCCAGGTCTTGAACCCAGGTAGTCTGACTCCAGAGCCTGTGTGGCGAGCAACCATATTACTCTGCCATTAATCCCCAAATCTTAAGGCGCCCCTTACCCTGAAGCCCTCCCCTGGCCCTGTCGGAGGGGAGGGGGGGTAGGCTGTGGGTGTGCTGACAAGCCTGAGCAAAGCTGGCAACGAGCCCAGACAGACAGAAACCTGAGAGGAGAATCATTGCTCACAGATGTTCACAAAGGGCTCGCACCCACTGAACCGGCTACTGCGGGCACAATGAATAATGCTGGGGAACAACCCACCTCAAACCCTCTGTGGCATCCCATGGCAGGAGTTACTGCTCACACCTGTGGGGGCAGCTGGGGACCCGCTACATGGCCCTGCTGATTGTGGCTGGAATCCCTCCTATGTCTAAAGGGCCTGGGGGTTGGCTGGACAAGTCTGGGCACTCACGGGGTTGGAGCGCTGAACTCTGCCACTGACAGGCAGCGACAGTGACTGAGTCACTTAACCTCTCAGAACCTCAGTTTCCGCATCTGTACAATGGGCACCTGCCTCCCTCTCCGTTTCCCAATGAAGTCACAGCAGCTTGTGATTGGAGTAATTACGTCTACTGGCCCCACACCTGGACTCCTATTAGCAAATCTTCCCTCTCCCTTTGTTCCTAGGAGAGAGAGCCTCATTCCCAGCAGGCCTTGGGGGCCAGTTCCCCCATGCTCCCTCTTCTGAGGTTGGGGCATGTGTCTGCAAAACTTCTCGTGGTGGTGGGCCGGGGGAGCGGGGCATGTAAAGACAGAGAATAAACAGGGAGCATCTACCCGAAGCATCGATGTTCTGTGAAGATTGGGTGGGAAGAAAGAGAGTTGACATTGAGCCAGCGATGCTAGGAAGTAAGCTACAAAATTCAGACAAGGTTTTCCAGATGAAGACTGAGAATTCGGAGACATCTTGCTGCTGTGGAGACTGCTTCGTGCTAGACCTCAGATCCGGAGCCCGCGAACCAAATCTGTTTTGTAAATAAAGTTTTATTGGAACCCGGCTATGTCCAGATGGCTGCTTTTGCAAGGTTGACTAGTCGCAACGGAGACCATATGGCCCACAAGCTAAAATATTTACTCTCTGGGCCTTTACAGGAAAAGTCTGCCAAGCCCCGATCTACTAGGATTCTTTGATGGAAACGTTTGAAGCGTTCTGTGCTATTCGTATCTGAGTCCCCCCATCTCAGGATTTAAGCGTGAGCATTGTATTGCACATTTACTACTGTTTTAAGTGAATACGCTGTTGTTTAATTTTACCCACAAACCTAAGAGATAGGTGGGGTGCTTGTTGTTCCTATTTGATAGGTAGAGAAAGTGAGGAAATAGATGCAACTTGCCCTAGCCCAGTTCTTCCCAACTCGCCACAGGCAGAAGAACCGCCTGGGTAGCTCGCTAACCTGCAGATGCGGAGCTGGCAGCCTGGGGTGGAGAGCCTGCACTTCTCACCGGCTCCTCAGCTGTGCGAGTTCTGCAGGTCCACACCACTCTGAGCAGCAAGGACCCAAACCACAGAGTCAGCGCACGCAAGCACCGGTGTGAGCCCAGCCCCTAACCACTGAGCCGCATGGCTTCCCAGAAGAATGTTTTTGCACGAATGAGTCATAAACCCCATGAGAAGTTCACATCTACGTCTCCCTGCCCCCACTGAGACCTCCAGGACCGAGCCCAGTTCAGAACTTGACAAACTCCCTCGTTGTCCAACAACAGACAAATGGGGAACCGAGCACGGAGGGGGAAGTGGGCTGCGTGGCTGTTTTCTCTCCCTCCCTGGCCCCCATTCCCTCTCTAGAACCCTGGATTTTTGTGTCTGTGCCCCCCTTTCCCCACTCCTCCTACACGTGGTCTGGGTGGAGCCTCATGTCTAGATTTGGGGGTGGGACATATGAGGCCTGGCCAATCATTGTGTCACATCCCCACCACCACCACAACAGTTGGCTCAGGGATGGGCATGTGACTAAGGCAGGTCCAATCAGAGAGAGTTGTGGGACTTCTGAACCCTAGAAGAAGGCTCTCAGTCCCTGCTGCAGGATGAGGAGGTGTGAGGGTACAACAGCAAGAGGGAGAGAAAGGGAAGAAGGGGTGATGTTGCTTCCCTGGGGAACAATTTGGCACTGTATGGAGACATTTCTGGTTGTCATGAGTTGGGGCTGGAGAGGAGGGTGGGAGCCAGGGATGCTGCCAAGCCTCCTACAATGCAGAGGAGAGCCCTCATAACAACGGATCATCACCCCAAATGGCAGTAGGGCTGCAGTTGGGAAACCCTGAGTCAAAGATCCTATAGCCATCCTGTCCCCATGGATGGGAGAACCTGCTGCTCCAGGCCACTCCGTGGAGCCGAGAAGGGACCCTCAGAGCGGCGGAGCCCTGGGGACACCCTCAGAGCCCTGGGGACACCCTCAGAGCCCTGGACCCGGCTGGGCCTCAAGCCAGCCCTGCTCCGTGCTTTTCCAGTTTGTGGCCCCATCAATGGCCCGATGGCTTACGCCTGTTTGATGAAGTTTTCTGTCACTTTCAACTCCTCCAAGCAGCATGGTGGGCACACGTTCTTCTCTCTGCTTTATAGATGGGCAGTCCCAGCCCAGAGAGCCTGTCTGACTGGCCCAAGGTCACACAGCAAGCTCATGGCATGTGCCAACTGGTATTTGCTCAGTGGCCTCACACAGGACAAACTGTGTTTTTATATTAAAACAAACACAGCTTCACAAAGCCGAGTGCCAAATTCACACTAACTTTCAAGATAGAAGAGGAGACTTCAGAAATAGTTTGCTGTTGCAGAGACTGCTGCAGACTACAAACGAGAGTCCAAACACTCGCGGGGCGTCGGGGGATCTCTCTGGTGCGCCCCCTCTGTAGGCATGTCCCCGTGCTTTTCAAATCCTCTCCACAATGTTGCACAACAGAGGCACATCTTTCTCTGCCTGGGTCACAGATGGGCCGGCCCCAGGCCCGGAGGTGTACGTGACTCATCTGAGGCCACACAGCAAGCCACGGCCTAGAAGAGCGTTCCTCAACCTTGGCACCATCGACATTGGCAAGGAGATCATGCCTGTGTGTGGTAGGATGTTTAGCAGCTTCTAGCCCAGTGATGGCGAACCTTTTGAGCTCGGCGTGTCAGCCTTTTGAAAAACCCTAACTTAACTCTGGTGCCGTGTCACATATAGAGATTTTTTGATATTTGCAACCATAGTAAAACAAAGGCTTATATTTTTGATATTTACTTTATATATTTAAATGCCATTTAACAAAGAAAAATCAACCAAAAAAAATGAGTTCGCGTGTCACCTCTGACATGCGTGTCATAGGTTCGCCATCACTGACTAGACCAGGGGTGGGCAAACTTTTTGACTCGAGGGCCGCAATGGGCTCTTAAACTGGACCGGAGGGCCGGAACAAAAGCATGGATGGAGTGTTTGTGTGAACTAATATAAATTCAAAGTAAACATCATTACATAAAAGGGTACGGTCTTTTTTTTTTTTTAGTTTTATTCATTTCAAATGGGCCGGATCCGGCCCGCGGGCCGTAGTTTGCCCACGGCTGGACTAGTCTCTACCCACTGGATGTCCATAGTACCCCTCCTGAGCCATGACAATAAAAAATGTCTCCAGACATTGCCAAATGCCCCCTGGGGGGTGGGGGGCAGTACCAGCTCCATGGAGGACCACTGCCCAGAATGCTTTTCATTCAGCATGCCAGCTTTGTTTTTTTTGTTTGTTTTTGTTTTTTTTATTGCTTAAAGTATTACAAAGGGTATTACATATGTGTCCTTTTTTCCCCCCCGCCCTTGACAGTCCCCTAGCCTCCCCTATCCCCCAGTGTCTTATGTCCATTGGTTATGCTTATATGCATGCATACAAGTCCTTTGGTTGATCTCTTACCCCCCTCCCTCCTGCCCCCCAACCCTCCCCGGCCTTCCCGCTGCAGTTTGACAATCTGTTTGAGGCAGCTCTGCCTCTGTATCTATTATTGTTCAAAAGTTTATAATGGTCTCTATTATCCATGAATGAGTGAGATCATGTGGTATTTTTCCTTCATTGACTGTCAACATGCCAGCTTTGTCTTTGAAAACTCAACTCCAAGGACCAACAACCCATCTTTTTCTTCTTCCCCAGCCCATAACACAATCTCTTGGAAGCATATTGAACCCATATTTCAATATCACCTTTGGCATCTTTTCCCAAGGTATTTCCAGGGTGACAGATGGGAGAAAATGGAAAAACAATATTTGAACACAGGCCCTGTTTTCCACTGGGCTTTGAGAAAATCCCCACCTTGTGCACTCTTGGTCTATCTCTGGCCGATAAGACCGCTCATAAAGCCAGGGCCCCAGCCAAGTCCAGGATTCCTACGGACTCACCATGATCAGGGCGCTGCTGCTGTCTGCACTGGTGGCTGGAGGTAAGTCCTGCCACCCAGAGGCACTGTCCCAGTCCCCTGGTGGGACTGGGGACAGGACTCCCCTGCCCACACTGGGCTCGGTCCTCCAGTTATAAGAAAGCTGGAGTGACATTCCAAGGACAGGCAGCAAAGGGCAGGACTCTATGGCCTCTTCTCTTTGGAGTTGGGGGAAGCAGCAAGTGTAGGTGAGATTACTCGGGTCACTGCTTCCTGGGCTCACAACCCTTTCTCTTTGCACAGCTCTCAGCTGTGGGCTCCCCACTTACCTGCCCCATCTGCCCAGGGTGGTTGGCGGTGAAGATGTGAGGCCCAACAGCTGGCCCTGGCAGGTGAGTCGCCCGCACTCCACTTCTTCCCCCCCTGCCCCCACCCCCTCACACCACCCCTGTGCCCTCCACCATGGGGTCTACTGCACTGGCAACGATGAGAAAATTCACCAATAAAATACGTTTCTGTGGCCTTGGTCAACCTTGGAGGGTAGAGGAAGGGGTACCTTCTCCAGCTGCAATAAGGAGCCGCCCCATCCAACTACCCGTACATATGCGTGTCCATAAGCACAGGTAGTGTGGGGACATGAGTGTGCACATATGCGTGTGCGGGGTGGTCATAGAGGTTTCCTGGAGAGGATAATCTTTTTAAAAATCTATTTTTATTGATTTCAGAAAGGAAGGGACAGGGAGAGAGAGATAGAAACATCAATGAGGAGAGAGAATCACTGATCGGCTGCCTTCTGCACGCCCCACACTGGGGATCGAGCCCACAATCCGAGCATGTGCCCTTGACTGGAATTGAACCCAGGACCCTCCAGTCTGCTCTATCCATGGAGCCAAACCAGCTAGGACCGGAGAGGGTAACCTTGACCACAACCTGTAGGAAGTGAAGGAGAAAACTATGCTAATACCTGGGAGAAGAATATTCCAGACAGGAGGAATAGCAAGTGCAAAGGCCCTGGGGCAGAGTGGGCTCGGTGTATTTTTCCATGCCCTGGAGGTCGGTGTGGCTGGAGCAGAGGGGAGTGGGAGCCCATGAGGTGAGGGCGGTCATGTAGAGCTTTGTAGACCTTTGTACAGGTCTGGATTTTACACTGGACGGTCTGGGCAAAGAAGAAACATGGATATTTTGTGTTAATTTTTAATGTTGCATTAAAATGTTATTGATCCTGATTCCTGAGTTTCTTGGTGCCCCTTACATTTCGCACCTGAGATGAGTGCCTGGCTCACCTGGCCCTGGCCCTGCTCTCAGGGATGGGGGATGGGACGCTGAAGAGCAGGAGGCCCAGTTCTTCTGGCTACCAGAGCACCCATGCTTCTCCCCAGGTCTCCCTGCAGTTCAGCTCCAATGGCCAGTGGCGCCACACCTGCGGAGGGACCCTGGTGGCCCAAAACTGGGTCCTGACCGCTGCCCACTGCATCAGGTAAGTGCTGTTCCCGGACACACAGCGGCTCACCCCGCCAGCCAGCATTCATCTCCAGCGTTCAGCCCCAGTGCCCTGAGCCACCCTGTATAAAGGAGCCTTGCAAATATCCACTTGCCTGGCCAAGAAACAAGCTTTCGTCGACCTTTAGTTTGGTCTGCTGGGCAACTGATGGATCAATAGGTGGCCTGAGTGCCCTGTGCAGGACACTGAGCAGGCATGTTTGGGGGGGAGGGGGACTCATTTCCTGCCCTCCCGGGGTACTGGGTGTGGCCTCCGGATCTGGAATTGGGTTCCCTTGAGCAATTTGAATGACTTCTCCAAGCCTCAAAACCATTACCTACAAAAACATGCAGATAACAGAATTTCTGGATTAAATGAAACGATGTGTTAAAGGCCTGGCACTTAGTAAGTGCTCAATGAACTCCAACTGTTTCCATTACAAAGGCCCACAGGAAAGAAAGGTTCCCTGGCATTCATTGTCCACCTGTCTTATCCTCTCCTTAAGACCTCTGCTTATCGCGCCCCAGCAGGTGCCCAGTGGCATTGGCCTTGGGTTGGTATGACTCTCTCCTTGCCTGGAGGGGTGCCTTCTCCTCACCTAAGTTATAAGCTTTAGGAGGTGGTGAGGGGAATAACAGAGGCCTGAGAGTCAGGAGTCCTGGCTTCGAGTTCTAGACTCTCACTAATTAGCTGTCAAACTCTGGACCAGGCACTCCTCTCTGAGCCTTGGTTTCCCCATCTGAAAATGAGAGGTTTGGGACATTAAACTGAAAAATGCCCTTGAGGGCAAATGACTCTGAGTTCTCTGTGCCCATCTCATTTCCCCCATAGTAACACAGAGTTTACATTACTATAACTTTTGTTTTACATTATAGTTTATCGTTAGTATCGTTTAGTTATCATGCTTATATAGTTAGAGTCATTATGTTATACGATAACTAACCAATTGCCCCAGGGAAGAAAAATTCCCAAGTGCCAACTAGTGGCATACTTGGGCCCATCCCAGCATTATCCAAAGCCAGGCTTCTGGAGACCGTGCATTGGGGTGTCCCTGCCCATGGGGGAGAGGGGGGCATAGACAGGACCAGACAGCCAGGAGCTGACCCTCTCCACTCGCCTCCCTTCTCCCAGCTCCTCCAGGACCTACCGCGTGGTGGTGGGCCGTCACAGCCTCTCCGTGGATGAGCGTGGCTCTCTGGCCGTCAAGGTCGCCAAGATCGTGGTGCACAAGGACTGGAACTCCAGCCAGCTCTCCAAAGGGTACCTCCTGTCTGGGCGTACTTGGGGGCGGGGACAGCAGGGGCACAGACAGGAGGGTGTCTCCCAGAAGGCACCCCCTCCTTTGTTCCTTCTGTATGGAGAGGGAAGGAGCCCTGACCTTTGTATGACCTTTAGAAGTAGAGCCAGCCCCAAAGATGCCTGGGATGAGGGTGTGAACTGGGGGAGGGAGAGGCAAAGACTGTCAGGGCCCCCTGGGTCTCCTGCCAGTGAAGCCGCAGATGCCCTGTGCCCCCTCCCCCCCCCCCCCCCCGGCCCCGGGCACTCACTGACAAGGTATCGATTCCAGGCCAATCCCTGGGGACACCGGGGTGGGTCTGCAGACCCATGACTGTTCAGTGGAGTAGGACACGGTGTCTCCTGCCTTCCCCCACCCTGTACCCCTCCCCCCAAGGCCTCTTACATTTTCAAAGAGACCCTGAGAGCCTGCGGGGACAGCCTGGGGGTGATGGACACAGGCAGATGACCGGGGTCTCTGTCTGAGCTCTCCAACGCCCACACTCATTATCCCCCCTTTCCTCTCAGATGGTCTGATGCCATCCTATGCCCACCCCAAGCCTCTACTGACCCCCCATGTACCATGCCATGCTGGACCCTGGACTCTGGGTGCGGGACACACAGAGGGGCACAGGTCACCGTGCCAGGTCGCAGGGAGCTCAGGGCATGCGTGTGGCAGTGGGGCAGTGGGGCAGTGCGGGGTGGTGGTTAGGAATTGAGCTTCTGGAGCCTGGTGGCTCAGGTATGAAAGATGACTGCTGACCCCGCCTGGGTTCCTCTGCTTTTCTGTGCCTCGGTTTTCTCTTCACTAAAAGGCGGAGAGTAGCAGGGCCTGCCTCTGGGGTTGTTGTGAGGATTAGATGAGATACTGTATGGAAAGCACTTAGACAGCGGCCTGGGAGGAGGGTGGCCCAGACTTCCTGGGGAAGGGGAGGAGGAGGAAGCGAGGCAGGAAAAGGTCCCCTGCAGAATCCACCACTCGCTCCTGCCGTTCCTGCTGTCAAGGGGCAGGCCAGCGGAGGCGCGGAGTTCGCTGCTCTGGGATTAGCTGCATCATATGCAGAGCTTCCTCCCTCGCCCTTGGGGGTCGATGCCCCTGTTGGCTGGGACTGTCGTCCAGATCCTCCACACGTGGCCTCCGTGTAGCCTGGCTTCTTCATGCCGGAGGCTGGGTTCCAAGCACAGGGGCCCCGAGGACCAGACGGAAGCTGCATCTCTTCGCAGGTCCTAGTCTCAAAGATCACCTGGTGTCACTTCCTCCCCATTACAGGCCCCGGGCCCCCTCTCAATCCAGGGGGGAGAAACCCAGACCCCACCTCCTGATGGCCAGAGCGTCCACATCACCTCGTAGCAAATGGGCTGGGAGATCCCACTGCAGCCACCATGGAAAAGGCACCTGCTCATCACTAACCGTCTCCTAGAGGAGAGCGTGAGAGTAGGGAGGAGCCTGGGCAGACTCAAGGTGGGAGGAGAGCACGGAGTAAGGGCAGGAGGCCTTTGCATCTGAGCATCTCCTGCCGTTTTCTCACTGAACACAGGAAGGAGATGGTCAGGACAGACATCACCAATCGGGACATGTGTCCTTGTCAACACATCCCAGCAGGCAGCCATGACTAAGCCATCAGAGGGACACTGCAAGACAAAACCTCCCCGCCCGCCCTGTTCTAAATAATCCCCTAAAAGGCTCTCGGGGGAATACAGGGCTCCAAGCTCCACCAGAGACAAAAATGCAACCTGGGGTTTAGAGGCAGCTGCTCCCCAGTCCCTCGGAGCCCTGGCAGAAGGAAGCCTCGCAGTCAGGCTGGCCAGGGAGGGGCTCCATGGTTCCAGTGGGGGCCACACCAGGAATGAAATTAGGACAGGCACAGTCAGCCCTCTCTTTACACTCTCCCGCTTCTCCAACCCAGGAACGACATTGCCCTGCTCAAACTGGCCAGCCCTGTCCCCCTGAGTGACAAGATCCAGCTGGGCTGCCTCCCTCCCGCCGGCAAAATCCTTCCCAACAACTACACCTGCTACGTCACAGGCTGGGGAAGGCTGCAGAGTAAGTGGGGGCCGGGAGCCCCAAGGGTTGGGAGGGAGGGAAGCAGTGTCACCCTTGTCCAACCAGGGGCTCTCTCCACACTCTCATCCCAGGGCGTCTGGGAGAAATGCTGGCTCTCCTGGGAGGGGCAGGATAGCATAGACCGATAAGCAGTCAGGCTGCCTGGGTTCGAACCCCAGCTCCTCCACTTGCTAGCTCTGTGACCTTGGGTACATGACTTAGCCTCTCCATACCCCGGGTTCCTCATCTGTAAAATGGGAATAATAACAGCACCTATATCACAGGGACCTGGGAAGTGACTGAAGGAGGTAAAGCACTTAGGGCAGTGCGTGCACATAGTAGGTGCTGTGTGATAGTTCTCATGTCACTGTGACAGAATGAGGGTAATGTTGACCACATGACATCTGGCTAAGAAGTTTCTCTGTGTGGCCCAAGGCCGGAGTCCGGAACAGCATCCACTCTGTGACCTCAGGCCTCACAAATGTCCCTGGGGCCCTCATCACACCCTCTCTCCACACATCAAACTTACCTGTCCCACGTGCCACCAATTTTACTGCTCAGACCTGGCTTTGTTCGAGTCTCCTTTTGACATAAACTCCAAGGTCAGAAAGCCAATGATGGTAGGCCCCAAGACACAGAGGACCTGCCTTCCTTGTCATATCACCAGAGGTCTGGAAGGCTCACGCAGGTAACTGACCCTTTCATAATGACATAAACCCATTAGTATAAGTGAGGTATTTTCCCAGAGGTGCATCAACACACATGCACTCGAATAAGTTACCACCGCCCTCTGGACGGGCGTATGTGCAAAAACAAGGACACGGGGAAACTCAGCAGAAGTGAGAAGCAGGGGAGGCGTCACAAGCACAGCCTCTTGCTCATTTACCCAGAAAGCACCGGGGCAGAATGCATTTCGCCGGAGGCAGCGAGAGCCAGGGAAAGGTCCACATGCTTGGCTCTCGGTCCCAGCTCTGTGGGTGAGCTCTGCAACCCTGGGCAAGCCACTTTGCAGCCTCAGTTTCCGAATCTGGCAAAACGGAAATACAGGTGGCAAGATTAAAAGAGGTGACAAAAGAGATCTGACAATGCTTTATACATTGTAAAACATTATACGTGTTAATTATTTATTCAAGTGGTCTTGGGCAAGCTGCTTAACTTCTCTCAGCTTCAAGATCCCGTCTATCATACAGAAAAATACATTTACTGTGAGGTTTATCATGTTTTTAAAAGCCTAATAAAGCACAGGTGTAGAATTATAACACTATTAATCCCTGCCATAAGTAGCAGTGATAATAGTAACGGAGGTGATGGTGACAGAATCATTAGGGGCCATTAGGAAAGCTCTACCTTAACCACATTAGAATATTTTTCCCAACTGGGGCTCGAAATGCCAGGAGGTTCACTGTTATATTTAAGCTAAGTGATAGAAGCCCATGAAAATAGCCAGTCTCAACCAAGGGCAGAGACACAGCCAGGCTTTAGGAACAGGAGAGAATCAGGGGCTGGGAGACTAAAAAACTCCAGAAACCCTCTCTCAAAATGTCTTTCTTGGTAGATCTACTTCATTCTTCTCTCCCTAGAGGAAAATGGCAGCCACTGCCAACCGCTCCCAGGTTTACAACCTCTCTGCCTGGGATTTCTGAGTTCTAATCCCAAATTCCCAGGGAAGGAGCTCATTGGCTGAGGTTGAGTCAGCTGTTCACCCCTGAACCAATCATCAGTGGCCAGAACACTAACCAATCAACTGTGAGGACACAGGATAAACAAACATGGCTGCTCCCCTTGCAGCCATGGATGGATGGGAAGTCAGAGTGACCAGAAGATAGGGCTGGGCAGGAAACCCAGCAGGCGTCTACCACTTCCTTAATTCTCAGCAGTCCCTTTGTCCCTGTAACACCTTCTCTCTTCTCTTGTCTCATCAGCCAACGGGGCTACTCCTGACATCCTGCAGCAGGGAAAGCTGCTGGTTGTGGACTATGCCACGTGCTCCCGCTCTGACTGGTGGGGCAGCTCCGTGAAGACCAACATGATCTGTGCTGGGGGTGATGGCATCATCTCCAGCTGCAACGTGAGTGCAGAAAGTTGGGTGCAGCCCCTCCACAATGAAATGGGGCTGGGGGTGGGGAGAGGCTCTCGGGGGTCCTAAAATCTGCCCCCTGCCTGCCAGCAGAAGCACCGGAAACAGCTCCAGACATTCCCGTCCCTGACCTTTGTCCTTGTCATCTCCAGAAAAGATGTTTTGAGGTGTTCCTTGTAGTATCCACCCCCTCCCCTCGCCCCCCCACTGCTGGGAAGTCCTTCCTTGGGTCTCATTGGGGTCTCTCATCACCATCATCTCTCATATTCTCCCCTCTGTGTCGGAAGGGAGCCAAGGGGTGCATGCTCTGGGTTAGGGCCTTTCTAAGGTGACTTCGGGTTTATCTGTTGAATTAATTGCACTCATGGCCCAGTGTGTCCCTTATGGTAGCTGCCACAGAGCCTTCCTGGAGACAGTGTCCTAACCAGAAGGAACTGCGAGGGGGTGGACCTTGTATCAGAGTGAGGGCAGAGCAAGGAGCCTCACATGTCCTGCCAATCACACTGTGCCCTACACGCTGCCCCCATGCAGACCAGCCCCCGGCAAGGTCCCTCATCATGGGTGGAAATGGCCGGTGGTGGTTGAGCGCCCGCCATTCTAACTGTGGGACGCAGTCTCTGCTCCTTCACTTACTGCCCGTACAACCTCAGGCAAGTCACCACCTCTGGGGGCCTCAGTATTTCCTGTCAGTGAAATGGGAATACTAACAACACTTACCACATAGGTTTCGGTGAGGATCCGTGAGATGAGGAGTAGGAAGTGCCTGGCTTAGGTCCAGGCACCCAGAAAGAATAAAGGTTCGTTCTTGTTAGTATTATGGTGCCACCTTGAGCTGTGAGGTGCCACAGGGGCTGGTCGGAGACCATGGCAACTTGTGGTGGAACAATATAAACATACTGCAAACGTGGGAACCCGGGTCTCTAGGGGCAGCCCCTCCCCTTCCCAGCACCCTCCCAAGCTGCCAGGCCCTCCTGACAGCCCCACCTTCCCCAGGGAGACTCCGGAGGACCCCTGAACTGCCAGAAGGCCGACGGCCAGTGGGAGGTGCACGGCGTGGTCAGCTTCGGGTCCTCCCTGGGCTGCAACTACTACCACAAGCCCTCTGTCTTCACCCGCGTCTCCAACTACATCGACTGGATCCATTCGGTAAGAACCGGCTGCACCTCGGGCCCCAGGGGCCTGCCCTTCCTGACCTGGCTCCATCTAGGGTTGGAGAACCCCCCTCCTTTCTCCTGAGAGCCAGGCCGGAGCCCCTAGAGGAGGTCGCAGACCTGGGCAACCCCTGCGCGGCCCCCTATGGGCCCCACAGTTTCTGTGTGGATGAAGTGACATGAAAATGCACGTAGAGATTGACAACAGAGGACAGTCCTCAGGCACTAAGAGTGGGTTCCTTAGGATTAGTGGGGTGTTCTGTGTTTGCTTATCTGTGTGTCAGCCCAGACCCCACCTTCCAATGTTATCAGCGTGTTTATCTGCAAAGACCAAAGCCTGGTAGGCTGAGACCCACCACAGTCTTAATCATGGGAAACAACCCCCCACCCCCACCCCCGTGCAGAGGGTAGGTGACAACCATCTCGCTCTGCATGGGACTGGAGGTTTCCTGGGAGGCGGGACTTTCCATTTTAGATGGGAACAAGCCAGACGAATGGGACTCAGCTGGTCTCACTGTTATAGTGAATGTGTCCCCAGAGAGCTGTCTCCTGGCAGCTCAAAACCAGGACCTCATAAGCTTCCACGCCAGCCCAATTCCTATTTTAATGAAGAACATGCATTTATAATAATGACCATAAAAATTGTTCTTTAAAAGACTGGCACCAATCTTGGAAGAAGTGGGGTTATAATCAGCAGCAGGTCTGAGCAGCCCCAAAGGGAAGAGTTATCACAAGAAAGGCGGGCCTGGCCCTGGCCGGTTGCTCAGTGGTTAGAGTGTCAGTCCTGGGACTGAAGGGTCTTGGGTTGGATTCTGGTCAAGGGCACATGCCTCTGTTGCAGGTTCAATCCCCCGCGCTGGTCGGGGTGAGTGCAGGAAGCAACCAATCGATGTGTCTCTCTCACATCGATGTTTCTCCCCCCTCCCCCCCCTTCAACTCTCTCTAAAATCAATGGAAAAAAATATCCTCAGGTGAGGATTACAAAACAAAAAGGAAAGCTGGGCCTGGGGAGCCTGGGGGCATGGAGGAGGAGGCATTGTGCCTAGTGATGGCAGCTGGGAGGGAAGACACTCCATGTTGATTAGGGGCACTTTTCCCCACCTTCTGGCATCACCCCCACCTCATTTTGCTCTTCTGTGAAATGGACTTGAACGTGACCAGGACTCCTCCTTGGGTTTAGGAGCCAGAGCAAGTGGGAGCCGGGTGTTTGTGGCCAAGCCCCACAGAAGGGGAAGCTGGCATCCGATTTCATTATTTTAATTTTCAAAAACTATTCAACGGACTCAAAGTGACACTGTTATAAAACCAAATATGAAACCACAGCCATGAGCATGTGGTCACAGGGGGAAACACGCCATCAGACGGGCCCCGTCAAAATAAGCAGGTGGCTGCCTCCAAGTTTCCCATTCACGCTCGCCGGCTCCTTGCTCATCCGTCTGCCGCTGGCACCGCTTTCCAACAAGTGTCACAGACACCGGGGATTCCAGGCAAGTTTGTTGGAGAGAAAAGAGTAAAATCAGGAACAGAGTGGCTATTCACTGGTAGGCTTTTGTCTTTGTTTTGTGTTGTGTTGGGTACATTGGGGGAAAGCCACGATTCCGTTTTGGCAGAGGAAAATTGGAGTCTGGCTTTTAAAGCGTCACCAGCATTTCAAAGCAGCCTGGCCCAAGACCGGCTGGACGGAAGGATGCTTAGAGGACTTTTCCCAGACACGTCCCAGGATCCTTTCCCAGCCCCGCTGCCATGTGAGTCACCGGGCAGCTGGTCCTGGCAGCACCTTGAGGGCCCAGAGCAGAGGCCAAAGGCAACTGTCCTGAGTTTTTGTCCCAGCATCAGCTGTTCCCAGGGACAGACACAAGCACCACAGAGGAGGCCGCAGCCGAAAGCATGGCCAGATGTCAGAGGGGATCAACAGGAAAGTAAGCCTTTGCAGGCAGCGAGGCAGCGGTCCTGGGTTCACGGGACAGCAGCCAGGCAGGCACATGTGCCTGTAACGGGTTCCAGGAGTGGCAGAACCAAGCACCCAGCTGTCCCCTGGTGGAGGCTGCCTGGCAGCTGCAGAGGCTGGTGAAACCTTGCAGCGGTCACAGCCCAGCAGCACGCCCGGTGTCACCCACAGGCGCTTGGGAGCACCAGCCCAGACAAACCCAGACAGGTGTCAAGGTCAGGAGGTTGCCATGGAAAGGCAGGAGCAGGAAAGTGACAGGAGACAGGTGGCCGAGGGCAGTCACCTTTTCAACAAATGTTCACTGAACGACAGCAACACATGAGTCTTCAGCGTTCACCACTTTTTTATTTTTACTTTAGAAGGTGATACATACTCTTTACAAAAACATTAAAAGAATAGAGGAGTATATCAAGTAAAAAAATACGCCAAAAAAAGGAAGGAAAAAATATAGTAATAGTCCCCCTTGTCTCTCATCTCCAATTCCTCCCCCGCCCCAGAGATAATCATTGCTAACAGAGCCGTCTTCTGGACTAGGTTATGTCCACCTACACACACTGTCTTCTAACCGAAAATAGAATTTTAGTCTTCATACTGCTCTGCAACTTGGTTTTTTCACTTAACACCAGACCACATCTACATGTGAGCACGTATATTTATGGCATCCTTTGGAACAGCTAAGTAATATCCCGTAGTGTGACTGTAACGAACGAAGCTTCCCCCCGCTTCCTGGTTCCCACCCGCACACGGCCGCAGGGACATCCGGGACGCCTTCTTGCACACGGGTTGCGCATCTGCTCCAGCCATCCAGCAGCATCTCCGGGTCATGGGTGGCGTGTGAACACGTTTCAGAGAAAGCGGCTAAACCGCCTCGGAAAACAGGCTACAGCAGCGCTGCGCAAACCGCGGTGCCTGTTAACAAGTTCAGGGCTCTCGAACCCTTTGCGAAAGACATGGAATCAAAAAGCTATCAGTTGTAGGCGTTCTCGCGCAGGTCGGTGGAAAGCTGTGATAACCAGAACTCCTCGGGCGAGCGCGGCTCCGCCCCGGCCGCCTCTGGTTGACCGAGCAGCGCAGAGCCTGGAGGAGAAAGCCGGCCACGCGCAGCTCTCCGCTCGGCTGGGTTAACCTGCTTGTTTTCTTACGTGTCCTGCAGGTGATGGAAAATAACTAACCACCAGAAGTTCCCAGCACTGTTTCAAACTTGGACAGGCCCCAGAGGAAAATAATAAAGTGACAACAACATGAATCACACCTGAGTGAGAGTCTTATTAGCAAACCATCCTCACATCCCAGGCTCCAAAAGCAGAAAAGAGGCCAGATCAGGATCATTCAAAAGACCTCAGGGTTGGGGCCTTCTCTGGGGTGGCCAGCCAATCATGTCCCTGTCCCCAGCACGGCCGCCCTGCAGCGCAGGGTCCTCCGGCCAGGAAGGCCCCTGGAGGCACAGGCTGGACTCAGAAGACCCGGGTGCGGCCAGGTCTCTCCACGGGTTAACGGGGTTCCCCTGGACAAGCCACCTGACCTCCCTGAGCACGTGGTTCCCGCCCCAGTCACCTCCTAGAATGGGGTAAGGGTGGGGGTCAAATGAAATGTTTTGAAAAAAGCAAGTCTCCTTTATAAGGAAGAACAAACGGTTGAAGCAGAATGAGGGGGCAAATAGGCACAAGAGAGTCCATATTCACCTGAGGTTTATTTTGTTAAGGACATTGCAATGCAGGAAAAATTAATAATTTTTAAGACTTCATTTAAGATTCACAGATGGCAGCTGTTCAGACCCCAGTAGTCCCGAACTCGCTGCTCTAAGAGATGCTGGTTTGTGCGTAGCTAAAACATCCCCACAGTTCAGTGGTTCGCAAGTGGGGGCCCACCAGGGGACATGTGGCGATGTCTGGAGGCATTTTTGGTTGTCACTGTCCAGAGAGAGATGCGACTGGCAGTCATTGAAAATGTCACCGCAGGCACCTCCTGGGTAGATGCCAGGGATGCTGCTAAACATCCTACCACGCACAGGACAGCACCCCACCCCCAGCAGAGGAGTGCCTGGCCCCAAATGGCAGAGGCGCTGAGGCTGAGAAGCCCTGCTCTAGAGGAAATACAAGGATCAGACCCGGTTGCTAGCCAGGCAGCCAGCCACGGGGGAAAGCCACACGCCGTCCATGGCATTCTTCTGCTCCTCTCCCTCCATCGTCGGTCTGTCGCTTGTCTCCAACTTGGAAGCTGCCAAGAGCCTGTCTGCCACCAGCTGAGAAAGAGCAGACCCCCAACAGCTACAAAATCCTTCCACAGGGGACAGCCGGAATTGAAGGAAAGCCCAGGCCTTGGCAGACACCGGGCGGGGAGCAGGAAGGTTAGGGGGTAAAGGGTCAGGCAGGGTCGGGGGCCTGGCGTCATGAAGTTTTAAAGAAGAGTTTTTTCCGGAGGAAATTAAAACACCCAGGAATCTGTTTGTAAATGCCTTTCTCGGAAACAGCATTAGCGACCTGTGAAAACACGACCGCGGGGAGCTCTGTGAGTTCTCTCCATCCAACCAAGAATTCCTTCCGTTTCTGGAATCCCAGAGGGGTGGGGGCATGTCTCCTAAGGAAACACCTTTAAACGGCTCAACTGCAGCCACCTTGGGCGGCTGGGAGTGGTTAAAGAACAAGCATCTCAACCGTAAATTCAAAAAAAACTCAGAATTCAAAATTTCCAAATCCAAACCTTACCAAGTTCACCTGCCCATGGCACGTGGGGCCCTGCCCCTGGCTTTTCTTCCCCTCTCTGCTCAGCAAAGCAGAGCCAGAGACTACGCAGAAGACAGGAGGTCCCTGCCCAGACAGCCCCCTCTCACGGCACAGACACCTGAGCAGACACCCACGTGCTCTGGGACCCTGGAAGGGAGCCAGTGCTCTGAGTGGGACCTCACTCAGCGAGGCTGGGCCTATCAGGACATCCTCGCTGCTCTCTCGCTGGGGCCTCACCCTAAAGAGGAGCCATGATTCTGGAGGGTCAAGGGCATAGGACTATGCAGTGGGGCAAAGGGTGCAGGGACAACCCCGCGACCTGCCTTCGGGGTGTCATGCTCTGTCCACTGAGCCAGCCCACCCCGGAGCTGAGGATGGGCTCCGTCGGGGAGGAGGGGAGCGGAAGGTGTCAGCCTGGGGACCTCAGAGAAGCCGAGGAGGATGTGGCCCTTGGCATAAGAGGCCAATGTCACCACAGGTAGTAACATCTCGCGTTAGAGAAGTGAAAGCACTGACGCATGGCAAGCCAAGGTGTTATGTCTGCGTGCTCCCCCCACCACCCCGCCCTCCCAGCAGCCTCCCCTCTCCTTCCCAGAGGCGGGGCTCACCCGGAGCAGGAGGCTCTGCAGGTCTTCCGAGTGAGCCCACTGATCCAAAACACCAACCAGGGTCTCGATGTACCAGGAGCCGCTCTTGGTATCCCTCCAGGAGACAAAACCTTGGGGAGGAGAAAGGCCGGGCATTGTTGGAGCCACCCCGCCCCATGCATGCAGGCGCCACCCCCCCAACTCTGACCCATTCACACATCCAGCCCACCGCTCTGCGCCCTGTCCCACTCCCCTGTCCCGCGTGCCATCTTATTTCATCCTCACCACCACCTCGTGGCGTTGGCTAGGATTCCAGCTTTCCAACAAGGACACCAAGGCTCAGAGAAGTCAAGTGACTCCTCCGAGGGACCAGAAAGGGAGGACACTAACTCCTGCCCCACCTGCCACGTGCCAGTCACCTCGAGAAGCCCCGTGACAGGTAGGATCCTCAGTCCCACTTTAAAAGTGAGAAAACTGAGGCGAGGCCAGGATGCGGTGAGGCACACAAGCCCCAGGGCGCATTCCTCCATAAATTTTGTATCCCCGGCGCCTCGCCTGCCTGGACCCGAGGCTCAGAGAGGTGAAGTAACTTGCTCAGGGCCACACAGGTGGGTAGAGGGGAACGGAGACTCAGGCCCAGGTGTTTTCTCTCACAGCTGCTTCTGGGACCGATGGGAGGGCCCCTGGCGGATGCACTCACCTGGGAAGGTGGAGTAAGACACGAAGATGTCACTCGGTGTGGGCAAACTAGACACGGCGTCCGGCTGGTCGTAGCTGCCGGGGTGGTCCTGGAACGGGAAGGCGTCTGGCTCGGGGTTACCGTCAGGGGCCCTGTCCTCACGGGAAGCGGAGACCACCTCAAACCCATGGTCCTTCTGCCCTGCAGGGAGCGAAACCAGACAGCACTCGTCACTGAAACACACAGACCACAGCTCGGGCCCCATGTCGCCTGTCCCAGCCCAAGACCGCCCGCTCCCTCTGGAGCGGGGCTCCTGTGCTGGGCAAACACGTGTCGGAAACCGAAACAGAAGTTTTACTTTTGTCTACGACAAGCATTTTACACATTCATTAAGTAAAATTTGGGGGCAGAGGGTGGAAAGATGCAGAAATGTAAAAAACAGCTATAAAAAGTTACAAGGTGTGCACCCAAAAGAATTCAAAGCAGGAGTCCAAAGGAAAACGTGTGCCCAAAGGGTCGCAGCCAGACTATTCCCAACAGGCAGAGATGGGAACAGCGCAAGTGCCCATCCACAGGTGGCTGGATGAGATGTGGCAGAGACGTCAGATGGAAAGTGCTCAGGCTCAGAAAGGAACGGAGCCTCCGCTGGTCCACAGCACAAGTGGGTGAACCGTGGGAGCGCGCGGAGTGAGAGAAGCCGGACACTAGAGGCCTCGGAATACGACTCCATGTGCAGAGCAGGCAAATCCCTGGAGAGGACAGCAGGTTCGCTGTCGTCAGCGCTGGGAGGAGGCGGGGACAGGGGCGGAGCTTCCTTTTGGGGTGATGAGAAAGTTCTGGAATTAGATGGTGGTGATGCGAATGTACTCCATGCCACTGGGTTATATACTTAATGGTTAAAATAGCAAGTTTTATGTCATTAAGAAAACAAGTCACAGTATTTCAGCCTTACAAATGGGAAGGAGCCCTGACTGGTTTGGCTCAGTGGATAGAGCGTCAGCCTGCGGACTGAAGGGTCCCAGGTTCGATTCCGGTCAAGGGCATGTACCAGTAGGGGGTGTACAGGAGGCAGCTGATCGATGTTTCTCTCTCATCGATGTTTCTAACTCTCTATCCCTCTCCCTTCCTCTCTATAAAAAAAAATCAATAAAAATATATATTTTTTTAAATGGAAAGGAAATTTTGATGCCTGTTACAGATTGGATGGGCCTTGAGGACATTCTGCAAAGTAAAACACGCCGGTCACAGAAAGAAGGCAGCTGAAAGGGCTTCAGGAAAGAGAGGCGGAGGCGGAGTGGCCCAGAGGGTCCCTGAGGGCAGGGTGTCTGGAGCAGGGGCCTGGGACCCAGCCTCCGATGTAAGACGGGAGGACAGTCCTGGTGGGAAAAACGGCCAGCGGTTTGGGTGGCTCGTTTTTGGTGGGAAATAGCAAGGAGGTCACAGCTCACCCAGGAAGCTGGGGTCCCATCTGCAGGAACAAAGATGAGACAGCGATGGTTCTGGCAACCCCATAACAGCAACTCCAACATCTGCTGACCCCGCACCCCACACGGCTGAAGCTCAGAAACTTGGTAATTTGGGTTCTCACAGCTCACGGGCAGGGGCCAGGATTCTGCCTTATATCTTCCTGCCTCTCGGCCCCCCTGCTGTGCCCCAGGGAGGCCCGACGCCTGCAAAGGGGGCTTGAGGGTGTGGAAGCTGGACTGCAGCTTATTCAGGTCGCTGCGTCTGGTTATTTTCTTGGTTGAGATTCTAGAATCTGGGACTGACCTGAGTGGACCAGGGGAGGGGACCTGAGATGTGAACATGGGACTGCGGCCAGGGCCACCTGGGGAGCCAGGTGTCACTTCAGTGGACAGCGGGGAATGACTAAGAATGGCCTAGCAGCAGTTCTCAACCTGTGGGTCGTGACCCCTGAAAATATATCCTGCATATCAGGTATTTACATTACGATTCATAACAGTAGCAACATTACAGTTATGAAGTAGCAACGAAAATAATTTTATGGTTGGGGGTCACCACAACATGGGGAACTGTATGAAAGGGTCACGGCCTTAGGAAGGTTGAGAACCACTGGCTAAGGAGACAGAGGTGGGCAGAGGGACTGCCGGTGAAAAACGAAGCAGAGACAATAGGATCCGAGAGGGGACTCTGGGGAGAAACGAGTGGGTCGGACAGGGGACGCTAGCCGTGTGTATTCACGTGTCACCCTCATTCTACAAACCTGATGCGAAAGCCTAGCTCCCAGGTTACGCGCTGTATGCACAGCTTTGTTCTTAAGGAGCCTCGACCAGATTTCGCTCACAGATACTTTCATACGGTCCTATCTCAAATGCAGAACTCCCCGGGGGCGGGACCAACTCCTTCCCGGGCAGCGAGAACATGCAGTGGGGAGAGGACCTGTTGGCTGAGCACCTGCAATCCACAAGCACTGCAGCCTCCACGCCTCCGCCTGCCTTCTCGGCAGGAGCTCTAACAGGGCAGGCCCTCGGCGGCCGCCCGTGCGTCGCCACGCGGTGTCACCGTGCACCATGCTGCTTACCAACCCCCCACACCGAAGTTCCCCACGTGGACGCGGGTTTCCGCCTGGGTGCCCGTGCTGCCTCTCCGTAAAGAGCGTTAGAGGATTTTAAATGGTTTTACACTGTAACAACAGGGAGCTCTAAAACAGCAACCAGAATCCAGGACAGGCTTTCTGCTGCATGTCAACAGGACACCCCGCCAGACACATGAGATGGGGACATGTCTATTTCTGTTCTCAGCTGACAGGCCGCCCCCGTGTGGCCACAGCGGTCATCACAAGCTCCTGCGGGGGCTCCGCAGGGACCAGACCGCCCAAGGCAGCTGCATTCCAGCGCGGGAACCTTGGTCTTCCCAGCGAGTTGTTTGGGTTTGTTTTTTCACGGCGGGAGTCTCCATTATTTCAGATTTCACTCACAGATATTTTTATATGCTTCTATTTCAAGTTCAAATAATTAGAATCTACATAAGATGCAACCGAACTGTGAGCTTTGTGCCAGGCGAGGACCCAGCTGTAGGGCAGACAGGCCTGCCCCTGCCCTGGGAGAGCTGACCAGGGCATGAGGCTGTCTCAACACAAGAAGGTGCTGTGAGCCCTGACTGGTTTGGCTCAGTGGATAGAGCATCGGCCTGCGGACTGAAGGGTCCCAGGTTCGATTCTGGTCAAGGGCATGTACCTTGGTTGCAGGCACATCCCCGGTGGGGGGTGTGCAGGAGGCAGCTGATCCATGTTTCTCTCTCATCAATGTTTCTAACTCTCTGTCCCTCTCCCTTCCTCTCTGTGAGAAATCAATACAATATATTTTTTTAAAAAAGAAGAAGAAGAAGGTGCTGTGACAGGGAAAGACAGGAGCGGCCGGAGCACAAGAGCCAGCTAACCCTGAGGTTGGAGGAAGCAGGTGTTCAGGGAAGACTTCCTGGAGGCGGTGACAGTTAAGTTTTAACCAGAAGGATGGATGGTCAAGAGTTGGCCAGGAGACAAGGCAGAGGATGGCACAAGGAAAGGCAGAGGGGCAGGCCAGAGCCTGTGGCAGCCCGGGAAGGTTTAGCGGCGCTGGGCAAGCACAGCATGCCAGGCTTGGGGAGGCAAAGTGGCCGGGGCCAGATCACCAAGGGCCGTGTGGGCCCCACTAAGGAGTCCGAAGACATGGCAAAGATCCTCCGTGCTACTGAGAATGGGTATTAGGGCGGGCACGGAACTGGAAGACGGGCTAACTAACTTTCCCAGAAAGCTGGCCTCCCTTTCTTGGGGGTAGTGGGAAGGAGATCTGGTTGAGGGAGCTTAGGAGAATGACAACAAGGAAAATGAAGGAGTTTTTTCTTTTTCTTTTGTTTTTAATCCTCCCTCGAGGACATGTTCAGAGAAAGGAGAAGGGATAGACAGAGAGAGAAACATCAATGTGAGAGAGAAACATCGATCAGTTGCCTCCCTTGCATGCCCCGACCAGGGATTGAAATCCGAAACTTAGGTACATGCCCTGACCGGGAATCAAACCCGCAACCTTCCAGCGTACAGGATGACACTCCAACCCACTGAGCCACACCGGCCAGGGCTGAAGGAGTTGTTCTTTCTCTTCCACTTGGTTTATTTTTGTCAAGTCTCTGGCGTTGAAGGTGCCAACGCTGCAGGAACCTCTGTGTTGAGACCTCGAAAGGCTGGACAGAGCTGACACCTACTCTCACCAGATGCAGGTGCTGCCGCTTGAACAACAGCGACCATGTCTGGGCCCTCTGCCTGCCTGGGGAGACCCCTTGGATATCGTGGGGGGCTGGATGGAGCAGGAGGCAGGCGGCGGCTCCTTCCCCACCCGCTTCTCCCACAGGGAGGCTGAGGACCTGCTTACCTCCCCCGCAGGCCTGGATGAAAAACAGCTTGGGCTTCCCTCCCAGACTGGGGCAGCCGGTCCCGTTGAAGATGTTCACGATTCTCTCCACGGGCACAGGACTCCCATCTGTGCCATAAACAGCCCCCGGGAACTGGAGGTGGCTGGCCTAGAAGACCAAGAACCCTGGTTATAAAACCAAGAAGTCGGGGAGGACTCCAACAGCCTGCCCGGGAAGCTGAGGCCCCTACCTGGCAGCCGTGAGAGAGGATGACCACCACACAGCAGTCCAGGGCCCCGTGGTCCCGCTGCGCCAGCTCCATCAGAGCCTGGACCATTTGCTGCAGAGAGAAGGGTGCAGGTGAGCCAGACACCGGCGGATCAGGTCCCCATCCTGGGCGCTTGGGCAGAGCGCCCTCCCTGCTCCCAGGGCCAACTGGGAGTAATGATACGCGTAGCAGTCACAGCAGCCACCATTCTTGGGGCAAAGGTGCTGTGCTGGGCACTGTTCACTTAATCCTCACAGCGACGCTAGGAGGCGAATCCTGTGCTCTCTGTGTAGACAATGAAACTGAGGCTTGGGAGTCACCTGCAAGGACCAGGAGGGCCAGTCCTCCACCCAGGGCTCTCCGAGTCTGAAGCTTAAACTGGAAACCACTGGGCAACACTGCCTCTCATGGTCCAACAGACCTAAGGGCTAGTCCTGGGGAGTCGCCTGCATTCAGGGTCCCGCACAGGGAGTCCGCCCCGCCTCGCCCGCCTCTCTGCAAGGACAAGGCCTCACCTTGGCAGTCAGGTCGCTCTCCACCTCCACCGCGAAGTGCAGCAAGCGGAAGCATCTCTGCAGCTTCTCGCAGTCCACGTGGGAGCCCTTGCGGGTGCTGAGCCCCGACTTAAGGCAGAAGTTCACGTTGTTGATAATGAGGCAGTGGCCACAGGGGTCCGCGTTCAGGACGTACGCCTGCCAAGCACAGGGACCAACGTAAACCGGGGTCTCACTGCTCTCACCAGGCGGGAAGGCGGGAAGGCGGCCCCTGGGTTTCACTCGGTGGTGGGCAATGGGCAATCGGGAGCAGTGAGACAGGAAAGGGGTCTGCCCTGCCTCTGAAGGAACAGCGGGGTCTACGCCCAGCATCGCAGGGCTCAGCAAACAGACTGCAAAGCAGACCGAGGGGAGCACTAGGTGTGATGTTCAAATCGCTCAAAGTGGGGAGATCAGTTCCCACAACCGAGCTCAGGGGTGGGAGGTGCTAGCTTAGAAATCCAACCCCATAGACACGCACCCCCAAAGGACCGACAGACCGCCCAGTCCAGGGGAGCACTGAGGATCATGTGGGTGACTCCGTGGGCAGGCTCGTGCCCAGGCCCACCTCGGAGCATTGACACCACTTCCTCCCCAGGCTCAGCATTTCCCTTGTAATCCTCTCTCCCATCAGCCTGTTCATTCTGTCTGTGGTATGTAGCACTCTTTATACTCATATATATTTCTTCCTAGAAACATATAAAGTATCCCAGCACAGAGGCCAGAGCAGTCACACAATAAACGCTGTGAGTGAGCGAGTGAGTGACTCGGCCTGGGGTGGGTGCCACAGCCAATTCTGACCCCCTGACGTCACAGATGAGGAAAGGGCAGGGTGGGCCAACCTGCTCCAGAAAGAGCTGAGCCAAAGTCAGGAAGCTGTAGGGGTCTGGGACCGGGACCCTCTCTCCAGCTGGGCGGGGTTCCCTGAGCTCCCGACACAGCTGCAGGGAAGGGCCTGGGGAGTAAGGAGCAAGAGGGCCCAAAGCCAACGCAACTGGCCCCAAATAATATGAATGCTCACCAAATCAGCATTTCCTCTCCGTCGCCCGTGAGCACCTGGAGAGAGAGACAAAGAGGGAAAACATGAATGTCAGGGTCCAACAGGGGAGGGGCAAGGGACTCTGGAGCTGAAGAATACAATGAATAAAATAAAATAAATGCAACAGAGAACATCAATCTCAGACTTGACCAAATAGAAGAAAGAATCTGTGACGCAGAAGACGAGTCATTTGAAAGTACCCATTCAGAAAAGAATACATGCTTTTCAGGGGAGGGGCTCCCAAAATTAAAATATTCCACCCATCCCCTATGAGTACTCAGAAAGGCAAAACCAAAATTAAATTCTGAATTTCAGCCTGCCTGGCTGTACCAATGGCCACGCCCACCTCTCTCAGTACTCACGGATATCACTGAATCCTCCAGCACCAATGTCCACTGGCCGGGGCACCCCTGGTCTGAGAACCTGTGGATAGAGCTCCTCTGGCCCCAACGCCACTGGAGTGAGTCTGCCTGGGGTCAGCTTCGACGGATCCTGCTTCACTACTCTTAGCTCCTCTGGTCCGACCACCACAGGCCTGAGGTCCTGGGGTCTGATGGCTTCCGGATTCTGCCTTGCTGCTTGTCTACTCGCTCTCAGCAGTGAAGCCAGGCTCTGCTGGCCTGTGTCCTCCAAGCAGGAGATGAATAGTGGAAGGGCCTGACTCCCTCGAGTCTCCAGATCTATGACCAGCTGCCTGGCCTGATCGCGCCGAGACCCAGAGCCGGCCCTCTGTTTGGAAAGAAACACATGGCGCTATTTATTACTCACACACTCTCTTGTGACTCTCACCCTGTCCCCCTATTTCCCAGATAGCATAAATCTATAAACAATCAGCCATATGGGCAAAAACTGAGCCTGCCTTTCCTTATCTATTCATTCAGTATTTTAGAGGCATTTACTATGTGCGCAGGGCTGTGCTAAGTGCTGAAAATACAGCAGGGAACAATCTCGGTCCTCAAGGAGCAAACATCATGTGGGGACTACACACAGATAAATCAATAATGACACAGCAAAGAAAGATGTGCCCCCGGGGAAGCACAAGGGACTGGGAGAGTACAGGGGCATCCAATTCAGTCCTCAATGGTCAGAAAGTCTTCCAGCAGGGGACCTTAGCTGAGGCCCTCAAGCAGCGGTCGCCAACCTTTCGGACCTCACGGACCACCCGGACCACTGGTTGGCGACCGCTGCCCTAGAGAATATTAGGATATGAATAGCAAGATGTAATGATGGAAGCAGAGGCTCAAGTGATGTAGCCACAAGCCAAGGAATGCCGGCAGCCTCTCAAAGGAATGGATTCTCCCCTGAGCCTCCAGAAGGAAGCAGCCCTGCTGACACCTTTATTTTAACCACTTAGGACTCGCTTTGGATCCTTGACCGCCAGAAAGGCAAGAAAATAAATATGTGTTGCCTTAACAAAAAGAAAAAAAAAGGAAGTGTAAAATAGAAAATGTAAGTTGGGATGGGGAACTGTAGTGAGGGATGAGGCATTTGTGTGGTCATGTCAAGGAAGCTGTGAGAAGCCACGCAAGGGTTTTAAGAAGGGAGTGACAGAATCAGATCTGCCTTTTAGTAAATTCATCCTGGAGGCAGGGAGGACAATGAAGGGAGTGAGCCACAGCCAGGTCGGGTGGTGGCAAAGGTGGAAGAGAGCAGTGAGAGGGCAGACCACAGAAATAAGGAAGGAGAATGGACAGGATCTGGGTGGACGGTGAAGCTGGAGAAATGGTTAAGGTTGACAGGTGTGGGGATGAAGAGGCCGGTCACTGAGACAGGGAGTGGGGTGGGAGCAAGAAGATACTGGTTAACTGCTGGTTGTCCTCTGAGACCCAGCCCTGGGCAAGTTCCTCTGGATCCACAGGAATAAGACACGGCCCTATCCTCAAGGTCCTTCAGCAGCACTGCCCACGGGAACATTTTGAGATGATGGAAATGTTCTTTGTCTGCGCTGTCCAATATGGCAGCTAAACAAGTGCTTTTAAAGAGAGCCTCCAATGTTCAACTTTATTATTCCCTCCACTACCTGCATAAGGCCGTTCATCTCCAAAACCCCTTACAAAACATAAACTTAACACATGAGGGCCTGGCCAAGGCGGACAGGGCACAGCCAACTCCAACACGTGAGCCCCTAGTCTGTGGCTGACACTGCTGTTTCACACGCGTTATCTCATTTAGCCCGCAGGGCAGTACTAATGTTGTCCCCATTTCACAGCCCAAGAAACTGGCTCAAAGAGGGTGACCTGCCCAGGGACAGGGTGCCAGGCGATCTGTCCCCCAAGTGGATGCTGGGGACCTCCATGCTAGAGGAGGGGAAACAAACACGCCTCCTGCTGGCCAAAGCACAGCGCTGCAGCAGCAACAGTGCCCGCTGATGTGCAGGCGCGGGATGGCTTTACCAGCAATGAATGCAGTGGGCTCGCTGCCGGGAAGAAAAACGAGGTTCCCCACAACCGTTTCCCAAAGGGGGTGGGGTACTGGTTGGCACGGAGGGGGGATCTCGGCCATTAAGTTACGTTGTGGCTCCAGCAACTCTCTCCGCGCGGCCTCGTCGTCCCCGTCCGTGACTGAAGTCTGCGCCGGCAAGGGAACCGGGGCGGGGGGGGGGGGAGGGGGGGGGTTGCTGGCTGGGAGGGGGCGGGGCGCACCTGGATGTCCTCGATCATGTCGGGCTTGAAGAGCTCGCAGGTCAGCAGAGCGTCCCAAAGGTTGGCCACCTGCAGCTCGCGGACCAGCTGCACCCGGCACCGCCGCAGAACCTGCCGGTCAGCTTCGTCCATGGCGAGCAGACCGATGGGACCCCAGCCGCCTCCGTCAGCTTCCGGGCCTCGGCCACCGCGCCCCGCCCCCTCCCCGGGACCCGCCCCCGATTCTCCCTCACCCCCGGGGTCCCGCCCCCAGGCCCGGCCACCTCCAGGCTCCGCCTCCGAGCCCTGCCCCGCCCCCCGCGCCAAACCACGCCCCAAACACACACCGGCGACGCTGCGGCTGGCCCCTGGCCAACATTCAAGACCAGTCGCGCGGAGTGGGTCACACTGCTAGCCACTGCTGTGCCTGGAGCCACGGTCTGTCCCTAGAGGCCCCTCCTCTGCCCCCCGTAAAACCATAAACCTGCCGCCCCGCTGCCCGTTTCTCATCGTTCACTGTTCCAAACTCGCGTCTCATCCAACCAAGCCCACCTTACACGGTCTCCCCTTCCCTTCCCTGCTCTTCCCATCTTTCCTCCCGCCCACAAAGGAAAAACACGGATGGAAATCTACTCTTTGGAACCGCCAGTTTGCACCGCTCATTTCCACATTTGAAAAGCAATTGCTTGCCCTAACCGGTTTGGCTCAATGGATACAGCGTCGGCCTGCGGACTGAGGGGTCCCGGGTTCGATTCCGGCCAGGAGCGTGTACCTTGGTTGCGGGCACATCCCCAGTAGGAGGTGTGAAGGAGGCGTGCAGGAGGCAGTTGATGGATGTTTCTCTCTCATTGATCTTTCTAACTATCCCTCTCTCTTCCTCTCTGTGAAATCAATATATTAAAAAAAAAAAAGCAATTGCTCCAGTTAATGGAGTCCCAGCCACTTTACATCACATTACCTCATCTGTCCTTGACTACCGTACTACCAGGGAAGTACTTTCCCCCCTTTACATATGTGGACGCTGGGACTTGAGGAAGTGAAGTCACCGGTCACAATCACAGAGGTAGTGAGTGGCAGAGGTGGGAAAGATTTACACTGGAACCTGACTGCAAGTCCACACTCTCAGAATGTATCCTCTTGAGCAGCAAAACCTCAGCCCCTTTCATTCATTTATTCCACAAATATTTATTGCAATCCTGTCTGTGCCAAGGTCTGTGCAAGCTCTGAGAAAACACACACACACACACACAAACAAAAGCCCTGACATTAGGAGCTTATATTCCAGTGGGAGAAGAGAAATCCTATATAATAAAAGGCTAATATGCAAATAGACCAAATGGTGGAACAACCGGTCGCTATGATGTGTGCTGACCACCAGGGGGCACACACAGAACATGGCAAGCATCGGGCATGGGGGGATGGTGGATCAGGTGAGCAGGGGTGCCAGACCAAGGCAGGGCACCTGTCGCTGTCATGGGGATGAGCCTCTGGTGGTTACTGAAAATTCTTTGCTCCTGTGCTCCATGGTCCTCCACGGTCTCGCACCTGCTGCTAGCGGCCCCAATCTCGCCACATTGCCATCAGCAGGTGCAAGCAGAGGCTGCCAGCAGACAGGGGATGGGGGCTGCAGCAGTGGGAGGGGCCAGGCTGGGGTGCAGCCAAGACCTGCCCCTGTGCCCCCTGCAGCCTTGCGGCCCACAGTTCTTTTCAAGGTGCACGAATTCGTGCAATGGGCCCCTAGTGATAAAATAAAAGATGTAGTATATTAGATGGTGATAAATGCAAAGGACATAAACATAAATAAAAACAGTGCAGGGAGGATATGAAATCTATATCTGTAAAGAACCTATCTCATTGGCTCAATGAAAGTTTACCTCCTTCACCTGTGCCTCTCCCTTTCCCCAACACCACCACACATCGCTTTCCCGTGCGAAGGGCAGGGACTGGCACTAAGGTGGAGCCGGCTTTGGGGTAAATGGGTTTAAGAGTCCTGGGTTCCAGGCCTTGGGAAGGTCCCTGCCCTCTCTCGACCTCAGTCTTCCCATCAGCATATGGAGGAGTTGGACTAGAGAGAATCCCTAAGGTCCTTTCAATTCTGACGCTCTAGGATTCTATGAATAGGCTGAAAGAGAAGCGGGACCAGCGATTGCTTCCCCACCGTAGCAACTGTTGCTAGAGCAGGCCATCTTCTGGTAGCACTGGAAACTCCTCCCTGGATCGGGGAGGTCTCCTTGGCATCCCATCTTGCACCGCGACTTAGCCTAGCTAGCAGGCACGTTTTGACCTCTTTGGTTACGATCATCCCTTTTGATCCAGCCAAAGAGCGCTCCTCATCCCCATGGTAACTGCGTTAGGTCCACGCGCAGACGGCGTGCGGCCAGGGTCAAAATACACTTGCGAACAAGCACTCAGTCCCTGCCTTCGAGGCGCTGGGCCTTTAAGTACCACGTGACTCCCTTCAGGCTGGTCCCTCTCCCTCTTCCCCTCCCCAGGCCCCGGCGATCGCTGCTGTGGACCAGAGCCTCCTGGCCAGCGGACATCACTGGACCTTGGACTCTGCAGCCCTTGAGGCCAGTGCCCTTTCCCGGTAACTCCTTCCCGGCGTGACGCGCGGAGCGGCGGACGCGGCGGGGCCGGGCAGGCTCGGGAATTTCCCTTCAGTCTCCCTCTTCGTTGCGGGTCCCTGCTGGGCCTGGGGGGGCACCGGGAGCCGACCGGGCCCAGCCCAGGGCTCTCGGCGGGCAGCGGAGGAGGCGACCGTCTCCTGGAGGGTGGCGACCTCCGGCGGGGGCCCGAGGCGTTGCTCCGACTCCGAGCGCGTCTGCGGAGCGGCTGCCTGGTTTAGGGGCTATGGCCCAAGGGCGGCAGCCTGCCTACCTGTTGGGCAGATGGTTTCCTGCCCGGAGGCCGGCACCGGCCCGCTGTCTGCAAAAGGACCCCACGGCCCCCGCCACTTGGGCCTTCTGTCTGGAGGCGACCGACACAGTTGAATAAGGCCTGATTGCACAGCACGACAGCAAAAGAATGATAGATAACAAGTACCGCTGATGGACTTGACCCTGTGCCCCGTAAATACTTCACATACGTTTAACTCCCAGGTTGATCCTTTCGAGACTGTCTTCTCCGCCCCCATGTTTTGGATAAGGACACTGAGGCTTCACCAGTTTAAGTGATTTGCCCAAGGTCATGACGTGGTGGAGGTTGGGTCCCGGTCTTAGGCTGATCCCAGGCCCATGCGCTTACCCAGTAGCTACATCCCCATCCGGACTCTTCGCGGGCTGTGCGTGTCTTGAAGGACAGACTAGGTTACAGGTTGCCTGATCGAGGAAGACATTGTTTTCCCATTTTATTCAGCATGCGTGCAGTCCTCAACGTCGGCCATCGGGTTAGTCAATGTTGTGCGGACTCTCAGGCAGCATTTAGACTTCTAGCTGTCAGAATCCACAGCTGTTAGAGCTTTCGCTCACCCTCTCAAGAAAGGTGCCACCATAGACACTTGAACCTTAAAACTTAGTTTATGAGAAGTCGGGATAAATATGGCCCTTGGGAAGCCTTTGTATGATATCCCCAAGATCGCAATCCTGGAGTGCAAGTGTCGGTGCAATACAGCAGTACCGCTGTATTAACCAGCCAGGATTATTCCAGAAACCCTGGGTGAATTCAGTCACTACACTCACCAGAGATGGAGCTTTAATATTTGAGAACCATGTCTGGCCTACAGCCTTGGGTATTAATTTCCCTTCACGTGGAAAACTAAATTTTGTCTCCCTACTTTTTCTCCAATGGAAGTGAAAACGTTGAGCATTTCCTGAGGTTTCCATTTATTGCTAACGATCAAATTAAAGAGCAGCTTCATTTTTTTGTTGTTCTAATGGGCTTGGTGAGAAAGAACAGAATTGGAGCATATTTAAATCATAATTGCGCCATTTTTTTAAGAGTGTTTCACTTTTGTATTTGTACTTCCTAACTCCCAAGGATGCCACAACTCTCTCATTTGGTGATTTTGCACATGGTATATCTGATCGTTTCATGAATTTATTTATCATATACACTAAGTGGGGTATTCTTATGCCTCATATTTTAAGTTTACACTATTATTGTCAAAATAAGTGAAACAGTGTATTTGAGATGTAGTCACCTTGATTTTCATATACATCTTCCCACATTTGCTTATCATTTCTTCATCTTATTCATTTTTAGTCATTTCTAACGCTTTTTTAATCCAAGGATTCTGGAGAGTTGCTACTCTTATTGCTCATCTTTTCATCTATAATTGTTCTATAATAATTCTTATTTGTAATGTATAAGTACCGCGCGCTAACCGATTGCGCCACTGGAGCTCCATTCTTATTTGTAATGTAAATAGTTGTGAGGTTGTTGACTTTTTTTAAATGTAAGTCAAACAGCGTGACACTTTTCCTGCAAAATATCTTTTCTTTGTTTTGTTTTTCATCTCTATGTCTTATACCTTGACCTAAAAAGGAAGACTGTCCAGGTTTCTACCACTGAAACTTGTTGCCTCTTCAATTATTTCAGCTCTGGAAAGGAAGAGAAATGGAAGTGAAAAAGTTGAGCATTTCCTGGCAGTTCTTGATAGTTCTGGTTCTGATCCTGCAAATTCTGTCTGCGTTGGCTTTTGACCCGTACAGAGTCCTAGGGGTCACTCGAAGAGCCAGTCAGGCTGATATTAAAAAGGCTTATAAGAAGCTCGTCCGGAAATGGTAGGTGAAACAAAGAAATAGTTTAATATAAGGTTAGCAGTTTTAGCAGGAAAATGAAGCCTAACTTCCGATTAGCTTTTATTTGTCTCTGTGTTCAATAAATATATAACATATATCTGTCTAAAATATTTTATTTGGGAGGTCTAATGTTCATGTTTTTCTATAATTTTAGTAATGTGACCCAAAGCCTGTGTTACTGTGAAACCCCCTTAGTTGCCCTAGATACCATTAGCATATTTAATATTAAGTAGGAGGGAACTTTAATGTTTAAAATATATATGTACTCAACAATGGATAAGCTACCTTCCCATGATGTTATTCATAAAGTAACTCCTCATGCGTGTCATTGTTAAAGGCAACACCATTCAATCCTAATTTCTAGATTATTATTTTTTAAGCTTTCAAACTATTTTAGAATAAGAGCTTTTTGCCCTCAATTTTTTAAATGAATATTCGGGGATTAAGTTTGTTATTTTATAGAAAAATCA